TGTGTGCTGGAGAGGGAGATTATGTGCAAATTATGTGATTTATTATTTTTTTTCTTTACTTCTGTTTCTTTGCCTTTTCTGCTTTCACTGCAAGAGGGAAAAATAAGCAGTCATTTATTATAAACGGGAACAAATTTACTGAGCCAGTAAAGGCCATGAAATATATGAAAAAATATTTACAAATGTTACATTTTATATATAAATATTGTGATTAATTTAGTAATCGCTTGATCTACGAAAATAAGTTTACTGCTCATATTTCCAGAGCAAATATTAAAAGTGTGCATATTCCTAGATGGCAGCCTCAGAATACAAAACAGATTATTATTATTATTATTATATCAAAAACATTTCATCAGACATTCCAAAATTTGGGGAATATAACAACAGCTATTACTGTCATTAATTATTTAATGGAAATTAAATAAAAAATGTAATTAAAAAAATGTAACTCTACCTATCTTTCTAGCTCACCGTGTCATTACTTCAATTGCGATTTATCTTATTTTTGTCTTAAATCACAGCAGACTCTTTTGGCTTGGTTGCCTAGGTGATTGTTGCCATGCCAAACTCCCACCTGCATTCTGCTTTGACATGATCTTGACGAACATTGAGGACTAAGGAGTGTCTTAGTCATTTCAGCTTGTGGGTGTTTGAGAGTATGAAAAGTGCCTTTATGACTCTCTAATTCTTCATATTTTAGATGGGATCGGAGTAAAGCGTGATTATAAGCAGGCACTTAAATTCTTTAACCTGGCATCTCAAGCGGGCCACATCCTTGCCTTCTATAATCTAGCCCAGATGCATGCCACGGGGACTGGGGTCATGCGCTCCTGCCACACTGCAGTGGAGGTGAGGCATTATTCATGGCATTTCATGATGCATAGCCATGTGTCAAAAAGCTTTTCTGATAGTGTTTAATGTATGTGTATTTGTGAGTGCAGCTCTTCAAGAATGTGTGTGAGCGAGGCCGCTGGTCAGAGAGACTTATGGCGGCATACGGGAGCTTTAAGGAGGGAGATCCGGACTCTGCTCTTGTACAGTATCTACTGCTGGCCGAACAAGGCTATGAGGTTGCTCAGAGCAATGTGGCCTTCATCCTCGATCAAAGTGAGTATGGGCTCTACCACCAGAGGGCGTCAGACCCCCAACACCTACATGCATGTTAATGGTGGTTTCTAGTTAAAAGCTGGTCTGAGAAAGCAAACCTGGACCTTTCTGACCCTTTAAATCTGTCCTTATTGTTTGCCCTGCCTTGTAGTTGTAATTTTGTTTTTAAACCATATCTTTATTGCAAAAATATGAAACATAACAAGAAAGTCTCCAAAAAATGCCCAATTTACATAAACTGTTACTACTGCCCGCAATCGGAATTTTGTAATAAAGAACCGGATGAAAATGATTAAAATCTTAATTTTTATTAGGCCTGGAAAAGTCATGGATGTATACCTTATATTTTATAGAAAGTATTATCTTTTAAAGGGAATGTAATTATCATTATGATTTTATTCTCTGCTCTAAAATATTAATTGGATTGTCTTTGCTAGATAATTTAAAAAGTTCTTAAAAACTAATATATAGCTGATTAATTATAGTTATTTAAATAAATTAATTAAAAATGCAATGAAAGTATGTGGGAATGTACAAAGGTCACAGCATCTTCCGTGATGGTAAAGCAGTCTGCGCAGAGCCCACTTAAAGATTCGTCAGCCTTTCCTTTCATGTTTGCTGTCTCTTGGCAAATGAAAACCCAGCTAAATTAAGCTACATCACATTTGTGAAGGTAAATCTGACTCTGTCTGTTTTTGTGTCTTTTTTTAGAGGGGTCACAGATCTTCAATGAGAATGAAACGTACCCACGGGCTTTGCTCCACTGGACCAGAGCAGCTGCTCAAGGTTAGACTGTCCTCTTCAACCCATACAGTCTCTCTAACAAAATGCCAAAGTGCTTTGATGGCCTTACAACCATTATAGTGAGACAAATATAACCAATTACTACAAAGCTCTCTCAGATACTTGATCCTGATTGGTCATTTATGGCATTATGTGTTGTCAGATATTTCATTGTATAATTAATGCTAAACTGTATTTGAGCATTGTAGCCACTAGCAACCAGTCTAAAATGAATTCAATGTTTCATGCCTATTTATGTACTTACTTGCTACATATCCACGTAACAAGCTGGATCATGTATTGTCAGAGGGCCATTATCGCTAAATAAACCCCTTCAGACTGAAACAGGATTCCTCTGCTTCTGTTTTTATAATTTCATTTTAATTTCCATGAGGCTGTTGAACATCCAGGATATTTGTAACATTAGCTGTTTTATCTTTTGTTTACAGGATACACAGTGGCCAGAATCAAGCTGGGTGACTATCATTTCTATGGCTATGGCACTGATGTGGACTATGAGACTGCTGTCATTCATTATCGTCTGGCCTCTGAGCAACAGCATAGTGCACAGGCCATGTTCAATCTGGGATATATGCACGAGAAGGGCCTTGGTATCAAACAGGTGAAATCTCCATGTATATTTACATATAGCATGTATACACTACTGTTGAAAAATTTGGGGTTGGTAAGAATTTATGTTTTTGAAAGAAGTCTCTTAATGCTCACCAAGGCTGAATTTTATCTGATTAAAATACATTAAGAACCATAATGTTGTGAAATATTAGCGTTTAAAATAGCCATATTGTGGTTTTACATATTTCAAAATGTGCTTTATTCTTGTGATGGCAAAGCTGAATTTTTGTAGAAACTGATACATTTTCCTTCCAGAATTTGATAAAGAGTTAAAAGAAGAGCATTATTTGAAATAGAAATAATTTATAATATTATAAATGTATTTGATGTCACTTTTTAAAGCATCCTTGTTGAATAGAAGTATTCATTTCTCTCTAAAGACCCCAAACATTTGAACTGTCGTGCTTACAATTAAATGTGCACTAATGTTTTTGGTTGTTCCTCCACAGGACATTCATCTGGCTAAACGTTTCTATGACATGGCTGCAGAGGCCAGTCCCGATGCCCAAGTTCCTGTGTTCCTGGCCCTGTGCAAGCTGGGCCTCATTTATGCACTACAGTACCTGCAGGATCTCAATGTAAGTCGCATCTTTCAGTGAGGATCCACCTTAAATCTGACATGTCTCAAGGTCATAACCAATAAATTGCATCTTCTTTCTGCAGCTGAAGGAGGTTCTATCTCAGGTGGATCTTGACCAGTTACTGGGTCCAGAGTGGGATCTCTACCTCATGACTGTCATTGCTCTGCTCTTGGGCACAGTGATTGCATATCGGCAGAGACAATACCAAGCCATACCTAGAGCCCCTGCAGCACCCCCTAGACCGCCAGGCCAGCCTGAGCAGCCTGCCGAAGAGCCTGAGGAACAATGAGAGAGCAGGGATCAGGGTGGAGGTGACCGAACGGGACTAGGGGTACCTTGAGAACGAATTGAGGCCCATTAGCTTCTCTATCCCCGGGACAGCCGCTGACACCTACACCCTGCTGTGGTCTTTAATCCTGTAAACCCCCTAAAGAGCTTTCAGGACTCTTGTTGCCCTGTCCAGCCCCTCTCTAGTCTTTTTTTACTTTGGCTTGGGGAAAAACTAGATGAACTTATACGATTTCTTAAACGTGCGCCTCAGGGTTTTGCCAGGTGAAATAATATTTGTGCAAATCAACGATCACTATGTAGGGGGTAAAGGATGACATTGCTGAAGGAACTACGGTAGTTGTTCCTGAATTTTGCTTGCCACTGTGCTAAAAGTCACGGATCATACCTATTTTGTGCAACCCATTCATATTTTTTGTTGTTGTTAGTATTAAGTTTGGTACAAATTCGAATTCGGACACCATGCCTCATTGGGATTCAGAGTGCGAGATGGGCTGCGCTCTGAATTCAATATGTAAAAAGTTCATACTATAAGCATGTGTTCCTTTTAAGTGGCTTGCTAGCGGATTTTTCTTTTCTTCTTTTCCAGAAATTATTATATACAAATTATTTATAATGTCAGTATTTGGACTAAAGTTGTTTTCACCTGCACATAGATGTAGATTTCACTTGATAAAAACATGAGCAGTTACAGATGAATAAATTACATGGTAAGTAATACCAGGTTATCACTCTGCCAAAAGGCTTTTTATTGCCATAAACGCTCACCCTGCCAAACTTTAAATCATTGAGACGGCCCTTGACCTCATTTTGTGTGTCTGTAGCATATTTATGGTAAAGATTCAAGGCTGGTGTCCATTATGTTTCAGATTGTTAAACCTCTTTCTTCTGTCATTCAACTTTTCCAAAATAAGATATGAATTCCACTGCATACATGCAAAACATTTTAATTTGTTAAATGGGTTGCTGAAATGCACAGTTTTGGTATTACAAGACTCCTTTTTTTATTTTCAGATCAAAACATTTAATGTTCTCAAAGCTATTTTTGATGATTATCATATAAGGTCTTTTGCTCCGTAACATCAGCTTCCTGAAGCGGGTTAATTTGCTTCAGAATGTGGCTTTGTGTGCTGAATCTTAGTTTTAGGTTCTTTTTTTCAGAGGAAAATATTTTTCCAGATAACTTAAATTGTGAGCATGTCTAGAATATTTGATCGTTTGGCGATGGAATGTGTCTGTCGTTTCAGGATATATAGCAATACCACAAAGTTTGGTGTAAAAAAAGAAAAGAAACTAAAATCTGTAATGTAAGCCTACATATGTGAATAGGATGTAAAGGATTGTTTTTCATGCAAAGATGCACCAAAGCATAAGTCTGTTTTTGTGGAGTTCACGTAGCAATGGTTTGAAACTATAAAAATCATATAACAGATTCTTCTATGTAAATCAAGCCGCTCATAGTACAGAGATGACAACGGATGAGTCTTAAAAAAAAAAAAGAAGCAAATAATTACATTTTCAACTGGCAATGTTTCTAAATAACTAATAAAAATCAATGGGTTCACGGCGGATGTCATTTCCTATCTTAATATAATTAGACCAACAAATGCTATTCTGTCCAAACAAACATCCAGTGCGCATCATCAACATCAACCGCCACCTTATTTATTTCTCTCTAAAAGGATTCCTGGTCCTGATCTGCATTGCGCTTCGGGTCCTTTTCTCCCAGGCCCCAGTGCTACATGGTTTCTAGTAAAGCTCTCTGAGGTTGTGAATGGTCACCAGTCCCCTGGCAGTTGCATGTGCATCTGGATCATGCTTTATGTCGGTGGGCCTGAACTTCGTCACTCAGCTGTTTTGGGTGGGGGAGATAAAGGGGCACTGATATAATGGCCCCGTTCTCTCTGCACGCACATCCATTGTGCTAACCAGCTTGGAAACGCTCCACCATGGAGTGGCTTTTCATTGCCGTGGCAACCTGCTTGCTAGCCCTCTGCCCTGTCAAAGGTAAGTACTAGAAGCATCCAGAGCTGCGAAGATAAGCTGGAGCGCAGGGCCCACGATACATGTGTGAGATTGACCTGGGATTTGGTGGAGCGAGATGTTTATGTCAACCTGTGTTGAAGGCCTTTGTGCTTGTGCTGTACCAATGGAGGCTGGTCTCTGTATCTCATTTTGACTTTTGATAAGGCTCAAGTACTCATGAATCGTAATATTCATCTCAAGGTGACGAGTGGAGGCTGGAATATGAGGAAGGACTCAGTCACTACAGCGAGGAAGCGCTTGGAAAGGTGCGTTTGTGTATTTGTGATTGTGGGCTTTATCATCTGGTTGAGGATGTTTTTCTTTGACATGAGGTCATAAATACAACTGTCCAATTAGTTTATTTTTGATGCATCATAATATTAACATAATTTCAGTGGTCTATCTATGGGGTGGCATGAATGTTTTGGTTGTGATGTCACAGAAACCGCCTGTTTGGCATGTTATTTTGTTACAGGAGTTTCCTGAGAAGACCAGGCCAATCAGTTTCAAACATCCACTGTTCACGTGTCCTGATATGAGCCCCTCCTCTTCTGTGCCAACCTCAGGTAGGCTGGTCTAGGGTCTTCATTTTAGACTATTTTTCCACATTGTGACGAGATTTGCCAATGATGAGTACACACTACTGATCTATAGTCAGCACGATCAAGCTTGACCAGTGCTAGTCATGCTGGAGACAAAACATTTTTGTTTACATTAACACTGATGTTATCATTGATGCATGCTGGCTCTTGTACCACAGACAAACAGCATTATAATGTTTTGCTACCTGCTCTTCTGATTCGCTGTATCTCTTGTAGTTGAGCTGGTGAGGGCAGCAGATGTTAAAGTGATCGCTGCCCTTGGGGATTCATTGACAGTGAGTGTGATTATTCACTCTTTCCTTTTTTCCTGTTGAGTGGACTTTTCATTAGTTAGCTGACTACAGAATTAATTCTACATTATTTTTAATCATGATTATTCATGGGGAAAAATGAGGTAAACAACCAAAAATGCAAATTCTGTCATCTTTTACTTGCCCAAACCTGTATGAGTTTCTTTCTTCTGTTAAACACAAAAGAAGATATTTAGAAGAAAATGGGCAACAAACAGGCCCAAGGCTCCATTGAATTCCATAGTATTTTTTATTTTTTTTCCTACTATGGAAGTCAATGGAGCCTTGGGCCTGTTTGGTTGCCCATGTTCTTCTAAATATCTTCTTTTGTGTTTAACAGAAGAAAGAAACTCATACAGGTTTGGAACAACTGAGTGTGATGACACAGTTTTCATTTTTGGGTGAGCTATACCTTTAAGGTGTACAAGTACGTACATTTGTTATTGATGCAGTTACTGATAATAGAAGGGTTTAGCGAAATAAAGCAATAATGATCTCTAATAGTAATTGTCTCACTTGTAGACAGCCATTGGTGCAAATGCAACCACAGTTCTTGGCATACCGATTGAATTTCGTCACGTGTCATGGAGGTAAATGTAGTACTACTAATATTTCGTGCTTTTAGAAATAAAGTGACTTATATATCCAGTATGATGATATTTTTCATACTTTGTGAAGTTCTAATAATTTGGCAAAGATATTTGCCCAGAATTTAAAATTTTTTTCCATGTTTTTAAAGCATTGGAGGCTATGGATCCTTTCAAGATGTCATTACACTGGCAAGTACGTTCTTTTGCCTCAATATCAGTCGTATGAAAAGTAAAAATGGGTGAATTGGACTGAAATGAATTAGTCTCTTTTGTGTTTTTGATTTAGACATCATTCGACTCTTCAACCCCCACTTAGTGGGTCCTGCCCCAACCAAGACGGTCCATGGTACCCCAGCTCCCCTATGCGAGACTGGATTTAACCTGGCTGTAACCGGACACAACACCTTGTAAATGCTAGTACATCCCTAGTCATTCTTCATAAATGGTTGTTAAAGAGCAAACACCTGAAAATATGCCATCAAGATATAGCCTATTTTTACTTCAACTGTATTTTGCGACCTTTCATTTAGCGAATGTGGTTTTGGATCAGTTGATGATATGAGTTTTGCTTTCTTCCTAGTAATCTTCCTGAACAAGTCCGACATTTGATTGATACATTGAAAACATATGAGGTAAATGCATTATTGCTTTCCTAAACTAAATGTGTTTGTCCTCTGCTTCTATTGCTTATTACAAATACAGATGCTGAAATCTTGGCATCATAGTGATTCCATCTTTTCCTGCAGGATATTGACTTTGATGAAGACTGGAAACTGTTGACCATTCTAATTGGGATGAATGACATCTGTGATTACTGCAAAGACAAGGCATTTCTTACAAAGCTGTTTCTTTGGCAAACTACAGACAGAAGATTCTTCTACAGTATTGACAGATTTTGTTCAAAATGTCAAAGCGGGAACAATAGGAGGTTTAAAACAAATGTTAAATTGATTGTGAACACATAGACGCTTGTAGAGATGATCATCAACATGAGTAATATCTCCTTGAAGTGTGTTTGCTCTTTGAGAAACAGCAGTTCTAGGCAGTAAAAGTGACCTTTAAAGAGTCTATATTCAGACATATTGTGCTTTAGGAGTGTCTTTATAGAGCCTCTAAATTGATGTCCTCTATTTATGCACACAGTCCCTGTTTTCGGTGGAGAACTTTGTCCATTACATGACTGTGTCCTTGGAAATGCTGATGAATGAGGTAATATTAGATTTTGTGATATAATATTCTAATGCTTGGGTTTTTAAAAATGTTATAAAAATGTCACTTATGCGCATACAGTAAAAACAGTAATAATGTGGGTGAATTATTGTAATTCTAAGTAACTGTTTTCAATTTTACTGTATTTAAAAAGTCATTTATTCCTGTGATGGCAAAGCTGAATTTTTATCATCATTACTCCAGTCTTCAGTATAAACATATTTTCTTATGGTAAATATTGAAAACAGTAGTTTTGCTGCTTAATTGTTTTGTGGAAACTGATTTATTTTTATTCTCATTCAGATACTTTGATAAATATAAAGTCCAAAAGAACAGCATGTATTTGAAATAGTAATCTTGTGTAATATCATATATGACTTACACATTTTTTTTATTAACTTACCTTTGCAGGTTCCTCGAATGATAGTGAATGTGGTCCAGATCCTGCCGATGGAGACCCTGAGGGAAGTACAGAAACCCACCCCAGGATGTGTGCTCCAGAGGTACAAGAAATTAAATCAAGCTTTAAAAAAAATGAGCTAAGGGCAAGTGTGGTGATGTCATGGATGCTAATTGTGCATGAAAATAAATACACAATGCATATCAAGTAATTCTTTCAAAATCAAAAATCTCTTTGAATATTTATGCGGTTGTTACATGATGCGTCAGTTTGTTCAAGATGGTTATCTTTGCTCTTTCAGTGCTACAGGTTTATTTCTCTCATATTCAATGCTCTGATCTCTCCAGGTCATTTTGCTCCTGTCTGGTAAAGCCAGCTGCTGGATCTGCTGATCTAAAGGAGCTGGTTGGAGTCAACTTAGAGTTCCAGGTGGATTTTTTTTTTTCTTCTCAATTTTCTAAACAGATATATTACAAATCTATAATTTGCAAAATATGGTGCTAAACTGTGTGGTAAATGTGGTTGCACTTTATTTTAAGGTGTCTTTGCTTCAGTGTAACTATACAGTTTAATTAACGTGGACTTACTATGTGATACAGTTACTGTATGTAACAAGGACACTGAAAAATAAAATGTTACCCAAAATATCTTTTGTTTTAGAAAGCACTGGAGCAGCTCTTGCACAGTGACCGTTTCTTTAAGAATGACTTTGCTGTAGTTTTGCAGCCGTTCTTGAAACACGCAGACCCTCCAAGACTCCCTGTAAGAAGTGACCACTGATTGTTATGTTTATAATTTATGCCACATTTCAGCTTTGCATTAGGTTTAAAATGTCAAATTTCCATTAAAATGTGAATGCGCTGTTCAAGGTTTGTGTCTTGTTAATTTTTCCCTGATTAGAATGGGAAGATTGACATGAGCTTCTTTACCCCGGACTGTTTCCACTTTACTATGAAAGGACACGAGGAGCTAGCCAAGGGACTGTGGAACAACATGGTAAGTTTTGGTTTCTTTTACTCAGAACAAATTCGCACAGCTCCATTTAATACAATGTATTATAAATATCAAATAAAATATATAATAACTGAAACATAGAATAAAATTTAATTTCGATGTACACATCAGCCACAACATCTGATTATCTCTTTCACTGTCGTATAGGCACAGTTTGTCATTCTGAAATCGTGTTTCTCATTTTTTTTGTGGCAAGTTTCAACCTGAAGGGGAGAAGTTTCTGGTGGAGAGCTTTTCAAACTCTATTGAGCTTATTTGCCCCCCAGTGGTAAGAAATTGTTATTGGTGTAAATGTTCTATTTTTCTATTATTACATCCTTTAATTTTATTTTTTTATTTTTCAAACTGACAAATCCTAGAGTCATCCATACATTTACACCAGACCCACTGTTGTAAAGCCAGGCCCGTCAGCTGGCATCAGACTAGCTGTTCTCCACCTCATGCTTGCCTTGGCTTTCCTTCCACTGTGGTTGGCTGTAAATCTGGCCTCCTTGTAGGACATCCATATGGAGTATCATGGTACATCATGTCTGCCCACCTGATGTTCTACTTGTGCTAAATAGCAATGCTTTGACAGTCTCAGAACCATTGAGGATCTATTTTGAGACTTGAGCCACTGCAGGATGATCTATGATAAAACTGGGGAACGAGGGAGTGAAAGGTGAAAAAACAAGTTGTTAAAAAAAGAAAAATGGACTTATAATCAGTATCATATTTAATTGCTCTGTGGAGTTTCTGCAATGGAAATGTTAAAACCTCAGAATCGAACAATAAATGCTAATGTGATGACGTTTTCTGATATACCCAAATAAAATGGCACAAGAGCAGGTGCAAAGCCACGTTTAGCTCTGCGTAATGCTGCTATAATTCATTTAGGTACGAAAGGTAACCGTGTTAGCTGATTCCGGGTTGTCTGAATAAAAACTGCCAGAGGTTACACTGTAAACTCATTAAGCCTCTGCGGATAAAGGATTTGAATGTTGAGTGAGAACAATTGTTTTGCTTCTGAGAGCATGGTGAAAAGTAAACTGTTTGCGATCTTCCTAATGCCCGCAGTAATAAGATCATTGTTTTGGATGCTGCAACATGAGAAGTCCTTTTGGTCTTCTCAAATAAAGATTTCAGAAGGGACTCTTACCTCTTTTCCTTGCTTTTTTTTACTTTACGCGTTTTCCATACATGCTGAGGGTTCTTCATGGGTCAATAAATTCTTCCATTACCAATCAAATAACCTTTCTTTATAGTTATTCTTAAAGGTTCTCAGCAGCTCCTAGATTCTTGGAAACAAGTTTTTTTCTTTCTACACAAAACATATAAATAAAATGAATAATTATTCAATAAAATAAATTCTAGCAATACAATTAAATGGGCTGTAGCAAATTACCTCAATGAAATATGGATAATTAATTATTACTTGTTATAATTATAAATATTTGGATCAGTTAATAAAAATTAACTTGATTTAGCAGAATTGGTTCAGTGAACACACGTTTTAATTGTCAATCAACTCACAGAAAGATTTTTTTTTGTGGCCGCAGAAAATTATCTTTCCTGCTGGGTGCAGGATGTGCAGTCTCAGATGAAAGTTATGATGGTTCAATTATTCGTTATGATGGTTCTAGCAGTCTTGCTTTTTAAAAGAAGTTTGCAACAAAGAAACTATCTGCAGATATTTATATATACATATTTATAATATATTTTATATAATCTAAGGTTTATTTGTGAATTAATATCTCTATAGTTGTTTAAGAAGTGAGTTGCAATTATTTATTTATTAAACTTAAAATAAACAAATTAACAGATTTAACCCAGCTCTGAGAAACTGCTTTCTGTGGTTAAATTGTGTATTTTTATTATCAGAAATAAATGGACTCTGTGAAACATTATGGTGGGTGTTTCTCAGAAACTTCTGAACAATCTGTTTGAAAAGAAACAACAAAACAGCACATTCCTCGTTTAGTCTCATGTTCAGCTGTGTACATTAAAAATAAATCTTTTATGCATGGCTGAGAAACTGCACTGCACCATTTTGAGTAGTATACTTCTACAGCTATAGGACAAATGTAGAATTTATGCATTTTAATATAACTTGATTTAATACATCTTATTTTGTTAAAGCAATGTAAAAAGATATGTTGTAAGAACGTATTAATCATGTACTTTTCTACAGTATAGTCTTTCCATCATGGAAAGACTATACTGTAGAAAAGTACATGATTAATACTTTCTTACAACATATCTTTTTACATTGCTTTAACAAAATAAGAGATGCAATTTTCAACTTTTTGTGATACAGGAAAATGACTCAAACATCTAAGTTGATTGTACTTACATATTCAAGGCAGCAACTTTTTTACAGTGAAAACTCCAATAGTTTACTTTCATTGTGTTTTTTGTCCATTTCAAGCTGATATAAACAGGAAACAATACCTTGTTTCCACTTTGAGGGCCATTAGATGCAATCCATCACATGCACATATACGCATACTCCAACTGTTCGATTTGCATCCAATTTTAGTGTCCAGAATAGAGAAATAGCATTATGTTCTCATTACAACTCAATGGTCAACTTGTCTGCTGCCTAAAAAGGTTTTGCTGTGAACAGTCAAACCAAAAACTGATTCAGACACCATAGTGGGTGCAGGACAATATAGGCTAGTTCATTTATGTAAGTGAGATTAGCAAAATAAACTGAGGCATATTATACCCAAAAATCATTCACGCAGCAGACTACCAAAATCTATAAAAATTTTGGACCAAAAATTATTTGGACAATTTGGCCTGACCATGATTAAGTGTCTTAAGTGTTTTTTCTTAAATTGCTAATGCCACCTTTTTACACCACAGACTTAACAAAATTAAGCATTTACCTGTAATTGGCTGACTTAAATTGGTATTATCTAATTGTGTAGTTAAATTTACCAGCTGACAGCTTTGCAACCTACTTCATTTGTCAGATAGTCTAACAGAAGGATGGCCAAAACCAGTGAAATATCAACTGATTTGATAACTCAGTTCTTATTGTATTACCATTTTCTAAGCAAATAACTGTGACCATGTGTCTGAATACATTTTTAGTTTGCTCAACTCAACATTTAACCCAACAGGAATAAAATGTGTAAATGCTGCCTCTAATGTACACATTATCAGAGCCCAAAATATTGTTGTCTTGCATTCTGTGTCATCCATGCACAATATGATAAAAGAAGCATAAATGGCTTGTTGAGATCCACAATGAATGGCAGATAAACAGTTTTCATGAGCTACAAGGACATTTAACAAGTATTAATGAACAAAGCATATTTATATCAAAGCAACCTATGAAGACATAAAAGTATAAGTGGCAAACAAACAATTAAGCATAAATGTTTTATCAGATTTGCATTTGAATTCATCCCACATCTAATCTGCTTTCTGATCACATTCACTCTATTTCATCCCCTGCACCTCTCTTTCTAATGCATCTCTGGGCTCAATAGGGTAATCACACATGGATCCCCTGAGATCCATCATTTACTGCATATGCCAAGGTTTAATGCTGTCGCTAATTGAATTACTTTCTGTTTTGAATGGCAGGCACTACTGATCGACTTATGTTTAGTATTCTGCACAAAGATTAATGCAAAACAATACAGTATAGCTTTATCTCAGCCGGTCGTTCAGTTTGCTTTTATTGGGACCAATTTATTTTCAATAAATGTATTTTCCTTTAATATTTTTAATATCTTAGTTAAATATTTTTAAATATCGCAGTGGAAATCATGATCTTTAGCGTTCGTCTTTGAGTAATGCATGAGAAACCAGTCAATCAAGACTTTTGTGTATAATGTTTTTCAAATAGATTATCATGTTTTGGGCCTGTCCTTGATAATGACCTTTGAATTAGTATTATTTTATTTATTTATGATTATTATTATTGACAGAAATCATGATCTATCCATCTATCCATAAAATCAAAATTTGTCTTTATCATTTATCATTATTTAATGTGCATATATCTGGATGCATTAAAGATAAAATATTGACTTTTTTTGTTATGTACAGTATATATCTACATGCATGTATTGATGCAAAATATTAGCCTATTATTAACTTTTTTTCTTTATTAGTAGAAACTAAGTAGGTGAACTAAGCAGCTGTACATTATACTGATGTCATTTCCTCTTCAGCAAGTCTTCTATATAAAGCGGCATCTCTGCAGTTGTGATTAGTGACACTGAGGCATTGTGATCTGTGAATCCGGCGAAACAAATAAGAGAAGACGCTTCATGCGCATAATGCATCCATAAATCAGCAAGTGTTTTCATTCACTCTGAGGAAAGGAAAGTAGCCTTCTAACGTTCATTCGCTTTTCTCTGGCACGACGGTTCGAACGGTTGCCTGCGCTTCACACATGAAGAAAATGATCGCACGAGGATGCGCTGGTCTCGTGGTGCTGGTGAATTTTGGTAAGTGTGCAAGATGTGCAAATGATCACCATTACCCAATAAGTTGTTTTGGGAATACTTAGTGTTATTTTGGATGATGTGTTGTTGATTCTGTACATTTTTTTAAATGCGAGCTGTTCAATGGCTCTGTCAGCACCAAGGACAGCGGATAACACTTGCGAGGAACGCAAATGAGCTTTTCACACTTGACATTTGTACGCGTTATTGTGGTTTATAATGTTCCATGGCATGTTAACGTTTGCATAAGGCAGCTAAATTCAGTGCAGTCAGTTTTAATAACCGATTGTGTGAGTAAATGTCGCATGCAGGTCCGCTCTGGTTGTTTTAAGACATACAACACAAACATAATAATGTGTCCATTAACGCGCTTCGAGTCTTAGTTGTATATTTTTAAGGGTTTCCCCTCAGATAACACGAAGCGCGTGAAAGTTTCTGCGACTGTACAAAGAAAATTAATATTTAATGAGATAAGCATCGAAGCTGTTTATGATTGGTTGTTGTCTTTTGCTAAACGACTCGCCGTAAGAGTTGCTTTACCCAAAGGTTAAAGCTGACTTTTTAAAAGACGTCAAGTCAACAATGGGTTAATTCTATACTAATTTGATTATATCATATTTTGCCATATTTTGTTGAGCAAAACATTCTCTCTACTTCCATGCAGTCTTCTCGGCGCCTGTCTCCCCAGGTCACATGGATGATAAGGATGTGAAGGTACGTATTAGGTAGTATTATTTGAATGTGTTTAATAAGGATGCACAGAATGGCATTAGCAATAGTCCTTGTTGTCAGGAAGTGTGGAGGAAAGCAGCATAAGTGAGACAGTGACTCAACAACACGACTTCAGCCTAGTGACAGCTGGTGCCATGTGTGCTTACTCAGAGGATGCTGCAACTACACAGGACTGCAAACTGTGCTTCCATCAACTGAATTACAACTTAAATGAATGTTGGGTTGCATTCATTTAACTTATGAGATTATTAGATGCCCCTTTCTTGTCCTTGCCGATGAAAAACACCTTAAGAGAGGGTCTGTTTTAATATTGGTCAATCTGCACAACTCTAAGGTTTTGGGGAAACGACATCACCAATGTCAAGTTGCAATCAGATGCTGTTCTCCTCTGTAAAATGATAATGCCATTTCAGCAACACTTTGGTCTTACGGAGGGAGGCTGTTTTTCCCTGACAGCAGAGAAATGTTTGACTTTGGGGGAATGTGCAGCCAAACAAATCAGATAGACAAGTGTGTGTGCGTGTGTGAGTGTGTGTTGGAAATGAAAGCACTGAGGAGGAAATTACATCGATTGAAAGTGTAAGACAGTAAGGATGGTTAAATATGGAGGGCCTTGAGATATTATTTGCAGCTGCTGCTACTGTGTCCTCCATCACATTGATCTCATGAATGTGTGTAGAGTCCAAATATACACACTGCCGTTCAAAAAAGGCTTTTACATTGTTACAAATAAATCTGTTTATATAAGCTGTTCTCTCGATCAAAGAATTACTACAGAAATCTCCTCTGTCACATTGATCTCATGAATGTCTGTATAATGTATCATATGACATAAGTGCTTAAAAATGTTGTGCTGTTCCCTTTCCCAACCTTTCTTTGTCTTTATATAGGTGATGAAATGTATTGTGGAAGTAATTGCGGATACTCTGTCCAAGCCTCATCCCATCCCAGCGTCCCAGGACTGCCTTGACATTCTCGGCTCTGGTGAGTGCCTGCAATAGTGACACCTGGACTACTGTTATTTCCATATATTTAGCTACACTTGGGTGCACCTTTTCCCTATCATCTGCAGTAACCTTCCCAATATGATAAATATATGCTGTCATTGCTGCTGTGACTGCACATTTCCTCAAGTTAATGGAGCAAAGTAATTAAAGACTTTAGTTATAGTGTGAAGGGTTGCTGTGCACTGTCCAGAGGTTTTTTTTTCTTTGATACTTTAATAGTTGAAAAATCAATCATTCTTTTCAGGTATTGTTACTGAGATAACGCTTACAACAGTGAAATCAAACACTCTGTGAGAGGCTTACACAATGAGTCTAGGACAAAGAAACAGTGAAGGACAGAGATTGACTGAGCGAGAGCGAGGAGGAGAAATAAGTGGAGAAGTTCATAAAAACACTGTACTTTTTTTTCGGATTTTTAACAGAAACAATGTAAAACAAAACATAGTTAATTGTAATTTACTGTACCAAATACATTTTACAAAAAAAAAACTATGTATGGCTTTTAGAGGTAAAAATTGTAATGATATTATGTGAGTATATAATTCACCTCATAACTCCATTATAATACATTATAATTTGTTGAATTGTATATTTTACAATCAGCTGGTTTTGCTAAGAAGCTGCACCTGAAAAAAGAATCGGTACCAACTATTTGTGTCCCTGCTGCACCTCCAGAAGAAGCGAGTGTAAAGTTTTATTAACCCTTATATTCATATTTGCAAGTCGTGAAGTCTTTTTTACAATCAGCGTAATGCAGGGCTTGGGTTAGTGACCATCGGTTGTACACTACTTTTGAAAATGCATTCTGGGATACATTGAGTGGACTATATAGGCCAGGGTATAATAATCATCACTATACATTCGGACAGCACTACAAAATGGCGAGCTCACTATATAGTCCATTATATAGTGAGTAGTGGGAGATTTCGGACACAGCCTATGTTGATCAACCATTCAGAAATAGGACGTTTGAGCCTTAATTGTCGATCTTGTTCTGAGTCCGACTCAGATGTGTCCTCAGAGACTCCCGCTGCCATTCTATCTCCAAAATACACCCTCGACTGTTGTCGAGGCAACACTTCACGTGTGTTGTGTCAAAACACCCCACAGAACAGAGGCTCATTGTCATTTAAAGACACATGCACTTAAATGGCATGCTGAAAACAGAGTTGGTTTTGACCAGGTAAAATAAGTGTTTTCTTACAATACTAATGAGGATTTTTAATTAAACTGTATTACAAACTTTTCATTTAGACCCTAAAGAATCATATTGACTTGTATAAAAATGGCATTATATGACCCATGCAGTAGTAACTGTAAAAATATTTATTACAGTATATTAATTACGCTAGTTTTCTACCTTACCTTTAACAGATTGTGAATAAGCCTGGCAGAGAAATAAGACAAGACATTTTGAGAGGGAAAGTGTGGTGGAGGAGAGTGAATAGAATTGCTACGAAGGGAGCAGCCGACTCTGCATGCTCTCTTTGTCGGTCAGCAGAAAGGGAAAAGCTTGACTCAACGTAATTCAACGAAAATCTCCCTCTTTATTGCTCTTACTTTCTCTCTCTTCTGTCTCAGCAGGCCTGATGATTAATAGTGCTGCTCAGACAAGGCAGTACATTTCAGGGCAATTAACACAAATAATGTAAAAATAAAGTAAAGTGCTGACTGCTAAAAAGTCGGAGCTGTGTGTGAGGTGTTGTGTGTATTTTGCAGATGACAGGCTTGTGAGCATCCTGCGCCACCAAAACTTTCTCAGAGAGATGCAAGATATCGCTGTGGAGGGTAAGAGGCAGATGCTCCAGTTTTTGATTGGGACCGCATGAACCAACTCTGTTTCCTATAGAGAAATGCTAATGGCAGCAGAATGACAGTCGGGTGCTAATGGCTTTTTTTTTTGCTAGCATTAGGTCATTTGAAATGTAGAGTGTTGAATTGTATAACGCTGCTGAAGAACTCTAAAAGAGAATTCATAGATTCTGTTTTATTGCGAAGAAAATTGCCATGTCTACTTGTGACCGTGTCTCCACCAAACTGCTTCTCAGGAGCCAGTGAGAGAGCACAGAGACACCCAGGCGACACACCTGATCATGTGACCAGCCTCCCTAAAGATATGAAGAAAACTGCAGGTGAGATGAATCCACTTCTTAATTGCCATGATAGGCTACTTGACTCTATACAAGTCTGTTACATCGTTTTTTCTTTACATTGTTTTTACATTTCCAGAAAAGTTAGGAAATTTTGTAAAAAGCAATTAATTAAATAATCTGAGAAAAAAATCTCTCAAACCGACCTTGAATATTTTGTCTCCATTTCTATGATCTGCATGTATTGCAAATACACTTATTGGAGGACCCCAGGAAGAATAGCTTTTAGCTTATGCTGAAGCTAATGGGGATCCAAATAAAACAAACAAACAAACACTTTCATCTAGTCATCCCACTCGGTTCATACATCAGTCTCCTTATTCTGGGAGGTAAGCAGTCAGTGGTCACTTGGTTAACATGTTTTTCTTTGGTTAGCAACACACCAGAAAGATTGATCCAAAGGAAAAAAAAAACATTTAAACAGTTTGTTTGACAGCCCTGCACTTCCATGAAAAGGTACTGTAGCAGAATTCATTATACAGTAGATTAAACAAACCTGAAAGGAAACAAACATGAATAACAGAATAATGCATATTACATACATTATTACATAAATATAATTTTTTTTTTTTTCATAGTTGAACATTAACCTCAATTTACCATTATACAGATGATCAGTCAATGTTGGTTGGCTTGGAGAAACCAAAGGAATTTGCAGAGAAGAGAGGAGCAGGAGATGAGAGCTTCCAGGAGAGTGAGGAGACAGAGCAGGGGTCTAAAAAACAGAACCAGATTGCTGAGGAAGAGGAGCGTGAAGAAGACGAGAGTCCTAGCAATCACATCTCCAACTCTATAAACCCAGAGAAGAAAAGAGAGTCACAGGAGGAGGCGGCAATAAGGGAAGAGGAGAAACAGGAAGAGAAGAAACTCTCCAGCTTGGAAAAAGAAGAGGAAAATGATCCGCCTCGCCATAAAGAGGGTAATGATGAATGTGACATGTGGGATGCCTTGTGTGCTACTTTCTGAGTTTATATTTGTGTTTAACAGCATTCATTATGATATGATATCGCAAGCAGCAATCTTAATGTAGATTAGCTGCAGGGACACATTATAGACTGTCCTGGCAGGGCCAGTGCTCTGAGGCTTCTCAAATGCAGGGCCCTCCTGCTGAGAAGCTTGCGGTGGCTCAATACCTGGAAACAAGCCACTGCAGATGTACAAATGATAGATGAACAGTGCTTGAATGTGTGCCATCAATCCTGCCACAATGTAAAATACAAAAAAGAGAGAAGTGTCATCTGTTCCAGGCTCCTACACAGCACCAATTGAATACTTTGATGCTCTATACTACTACATTTCCCAATTAAATTCATATTTACTCTCTCAATTACATTTTGATTTCAGATTCTGATCTGATTCAAATAGTTTCTGATTCATTTGGGGGTATTTCAGCTATGTCTGCCCACTTTGCTTGAATATGAAGAAAAAAAATGCTGTTGATGCTGTAAACAACACTGGGTTTCAGACTGTTTTAAACCAGTAACTGAACTCACTCATAAGCTCTATCATATACACTTTCTTAATGATTTGATACAATTTTTTTACTTGAAATAAGAAATCTTTAAAAGTGAAACCTTTGATTGTGAAAGTAAAAGTTTGCCACAAGGATAAGGAAGTTACCAGTTGATTCTGATGAGATTTGTTTGGGTTTTCAAAAATACAAATTACATCCTTAATGGGTAGATTTTCGTTTCGTATTATTCTTTCAAAAATATATGTGCTCATTAATGTATATTTCCTTCATTCGAGTAATAAAGTATTCTCGTGAGTGTATATGCCATTGAAAATACATACGGGTAAGGGGTTCTAATGTCGGTCGCCATGTTGCCCCTCCATCTTGAAAGTACATTAGCCAAAGAGGGACATACCCGTTAATTCAAGCTTCGCCTTTCGCTTTTACGTTTGAATTAACACTCATGGACGAGGTCGAACTGGAAGCCATCGTAGGAGTTAACGAAATCAGAATTGAGAGGAACAGAAACTAATATTCACTGGATGGTCATATATCTTTTCACTGCCAGATGGGGTAAAAATGGGGTACAGTTTTAAGCCCAGCAGACTGAACAAATAGCCATAGTGCTCCTGCTAATGATATATTCGATCAATAGCAACATAATCTTTACTATGAAAAGTGTGAGTACGGGGATGTCCGGGGAGAATTCATATAACAGGCACAACTCATTTTGCTGTAGAGGTTCGGAATAACAGCAGGAGATCGTGTCTACGACAGGACGAGGTTAAAAAGAGTCAGTAGGGAGGGATGGTAAATGAAGATTGATGGGGGAATTTAGCTGTGCTCCATGAACAGGCCAGTGTGACAGTGCCTCCATCTATGAAATGAAATCCACGCTGTGCTGTGGCTCGCTGAATTGATTCAATAATTGATGTTGGAGGTTGCCCAGATCAGCTGCCTGCAGCTTGTTAAAAGTGGCCCACAGATCTCAGAGAAATAGGTGAAAAATGCCAGACATTTTGGGTGACTTTACTTTTGTGTATTTATTAATAGAAACAATAATTTGGGAATCGGTGTTCTGTGTAATACAGATAAAAGGGCAGACCGAGAGTTTATTTTTCAGGATAAGAGGAATCAAGCAGTGAGCAATGAGTTGGCAAGTGAGAGCTTTTCATTTGAAAGAGTGCTGCTTTTGCTGAAGTTGCACTAAAGTAAATGGGTGTGTGTATGTGTGTAGAATAATAAGAGAGAAAAGAGTGAGATAAAGAGAGATATAGTATAATAATCATAATTTTGCTCTCTTTTACCTCAAGGGGAAACAGCCACAGATGATCTCAAAGCAAATCCTGATGTAAAACAATCCATCATGGAGGACAGAGAGGACCACAAGGAAGCTGAAACAGAGAGAACACATTCAAAAGAAGAGCAGGAAGAAGAGGAGGAGGAGAAGAAGAAGAGTGAGGTTGGAGTAAAGCGTCGCGTGAGCAAACTGTCCCACAAGAGAGTGGAGACCAGCCCAAAACTGGATGAACACTGGGAAGTGGCACACCACTCTAAGGAGAGTGAAGATTTGTGGAGGAGCCCAGAGGAGCAGGAGCTGCAGCTCATGGCACGAACTGAACCACTGGACAAAAGAGATGAAGAGGGCAGTGGCAGCAGGAAGACAGGGGTATGACACCTAGTTGACATATTTTCAAATCCCCAAAGTTTTTTTTTTCATCTTTTTTCTGTGCAACACAAAATTATGAAAAGGTAATTGCGACTTTTTTTCTCACAACTGCGAGTTTACATCTCGCATTTCTGACTTTATTTCTCAGAATTGCGAGATATAAAGTCAGAATTGTGTCATTTAAAGTCGCAATTGCTTGTTATAAAGTCAGAATTGCAAGATATGAAGTCAAAATTGTGTGATATAAGAATTGCGTGATATAAAGTCCAAATTGCGTGATGTAAAGTCAGAATTGTGTGATTTAAAGTCGCAATTGCGTGTTATTAAGTCAGAATTGCGAGATATAAAGTCAAAATTGCGAGATATAAAGTCAGAATTGCGTTGTATTAAGTCGCAATTGCGAGATATAATGTCAGAAGTGATTGATATAAAGATGCAATTGTGTGTTATAAGGTCAGAAATGCAAGATATAAAGTCGAAATGGCGTGTTGTAAAGTCAGAATTTTGAGATATAAACTATTCTGAGTGGGAAAAAATAGTAAAAAATCAAGCCAATTTTTTTCCCCTTAGAATTGGCTTGATAACTCGCAATTGCGACTTTATATCTCACAATTCTGAGAAAAGATGTAAAATGTGTTATAAAGTCAGAATTGCAAGATGTAAACTCGCAATTGTGAGAAAAAAAAGTCAGAATTGTGAGATAAAAAGTCTCAATTCTGTCTTTTTTTCTCACAATTGCGACTTTATTTCTCACAATTCTGACTTCATATCTCGCAGTTGTGAGATAAAAAGTCGCAATTATTTATTTATTTTTATTCGTGGCGGAAACAAGCTTCCACAAAAGTAGAGTTTACTCTTTCAATAAATCCACATCTTTCTCACAACTGTTTATCACACTGTGTAGAATTAAATCTCTATTATTATTCCTAGTTGCTCTGTAAATAGGGTCAGAAAGTTGTTGTTTTTTCTAAGAAATTAATCATTTTATTCAGCATGGATGCATTCAATTCATTAAAAGCGGTAACACTTTACAATACGGGTGCACTAATGTGCATTAATTCATCCTTAACTAAATCACAGATAATCATGAGTTAATGTACTGTATAACTAATGAAGAACTAAACCATTAATTGATGATTACTGCATCAGCAACTAATAAAGAAGCAATATGATTAATAGATTAAGTAATACATGAATTGCTATTAATTCAATGTGTCATAGTGTATTAATTCCTTAATAACATATTTTCTTAACTAATAGTGTAAATTAATGTGTTAATTACCACAATTAGTCAAAGCTATGCACTTCAACTTCCAGTTGTCTGCTTTAATTAATCATTAGCTAATGATTTGCAAAGGTATCATTATGCTATGACTTTACTTGATGAGGCACATCATTATTAACTAGTCATTTCGTAATTGTAGTAATTTGCACATGAATTTGCACTAACAATGAAGTAATTAATCATGTATTAATGCATATTAGTATACCTGTCATATTACCTGGAAGTTGAAATACAAGGCTTTGGCTCATTCTGGTAATAAACATATTAATTAACGCTATTAGTTAAAAAAATGAGTTATTGTGGAATTAATCCACAATTACATTTAATTAATACCAATTCATGTATGAACTAATACATTAACCTTACAGACTCTTAATTAGTTCCTAATGTGGTAATCATTAATGAATAGCTTAAATAATCATTAGTTACACATTAATTCAGTATTATCTGTGCATTAGTTAAGCATGAATTAATGCTTATTAGTGCACACGTATTGTAAAGTGCTACCTTAAAAGCCTGTTATTTTTACTGAATTGAATGCATCCATGCTGAATAAAAGCACGGATGTCAATTTCAAAAAGAAACTGACAATGTTACTAAAGCTTTTGATTGCAAATAAATGTTAAGCAGCACAACTTAACATTGATAATAATGTTTCCTAAGATCCAAATCATCATATTAAAATGATTTCTGAAGGATCATGAAGACTAGAGTAATGATGCTGAAAATACAGCTTTCCTTCCACAGGAATAAATCACATTTTAAAATATATGATTTTAAATTGTAATAATATTTCACAATATTACTGTTTTTTTTTAACAAATAAATGCAAATTTGGTGAGTATAAGAGTCTTCATTAATAAAAAAAATAAATAAAAAAAATCGTACCAACCCCAAACCTTTTGAATGGTAGTGTATGAATATAAATGTTCATAAACCCTTTTAAAATTCATGAATGGCTTGATTTGTCTCTTTTCTGTCATCAGGATGCGGAGATCGAGAGTCTGGCTGCCATCGAGTCTGAACTAGAAAGTGTGGCTCAGAAACTTCATGATCTGAGACGAGTCTGAGCCGCTCCAGCTCTGCCCTTCATCTCTACTTCAGTAGAAAGGCATGTTAACATGAGTTGAGCCTCTCACCTTTTTGCTCAGTCCAAAGCAGCGTAAGCTCTTATCTCGGCGCCGCAGATCCTCTGCTCATTCCCTCCGTGTGTAATATGAACCCTCAAGGTGACTCCTCTGGTGTCAAACATTAAGGTCTTGAGTCAGATCGCTTCACCTTTCCTAGCTCGTCCGCTTTGCTTTATCGTGCTTGCTTCCTGAAGAAATTTGGGCATTGAGTACAATAGTAAAATATTTCCTAAAAACTACCCAGAATTATCACACTAGGTTGAAATTTTAATATACCAATTGTACCTGATATTATGGAGTCTTATGATCCATAGGCAATAATGGTTTTTTTAGGTATGGTGATGACTGTAATTAAATTCTTTTTGGGATTGAAGAAAACAAATAAAGGTAAAAATGAAGTGTTTCAAACTGATTCCATGCACCGTTCAACGTGTGAGTCTGAACCAAACCGCAAAACTCCCCCACAACTGATGTCAATACAGCAGACAAACACTGAATCAAATCATTCCTAATGGTTAAGTTTGGTTTTATTTCCCATTGAATTGTTTTATGTTATTTCAGAGGCTCTTTTTTTTTGTTAAAAAAAAGAGATGAAAATAATTGACATATTTACAAAGTATACATCATGTACAAATACAACACAATTCGATGGGGCACAAAACAGACCAACAAACGTAAAAGGTCAAAATAGCTAATTTAATTTGTCAATAATTTTGAAGGGACATTTCAGCCAATAATAAACTGTCATTATTTATCAATGTGATATAATATTATTATTATTATCCTTTTTTTTTTTTCGGGGGGTATTTTGTCCATACAATGATAGTGTTGTTCAGGGAAAGTTTCAGTGTTGTTTTGAACCCCACTCACTTTCACTGTGTGAACCAAAACAGTTGAAATATGTTCCACAGAAGAAAGAAAGTCATACAGGTTTGAAATAAATTCATAAAAGAATTTTCATTTTGGGGTGAGTTTGTATGTTTTCTTTTTGCAATCAATGCATAACCCCCACACAGGGCCCTCTAGATGTAAAATGATTATCCTTAAAAATTTTACCTTGAGTCTACCTTGAAAACAGGCAGAAATTCTCCTGCTGCCTTTTAACAGATGACCTGCCAGCAGATTAGAGCACTAATGGACTTCAAGCTTTCTTAATGGGCCAGAATTTAACATATACTCAAGAAGAGAGGCCTTAGTGCCAGCTGGACACTTATTTAAATAGTGCAATGCCTTACACCCAAATCATGACACATATTTTCCTTTCAAGTATCTCATTATTATATTAACATTAATAATATTTTCAATTCCTCCACAAAGCCTTTTTTTCCTGAAAAATCATGTTCAGTGCAACATTCATAAAAAAAAAATCATCACATACATTTTGAGGATCAGGTTGCCCATTTCAAACATTAAATAAATGAGAAGACAATCAATACACATTTAATCATTTCCAACACAATTCACATTTGGCACAAATGACTTTTCTATACTACACCTACCCTTTAATAAGGGTTTATTTGGTATGTGAAAAGTAATGAAATATTCATATTGCGTGTCACTGCGAAGACGTCTCCGCTGCTAAACTGGACCTGCCATGCTGGTGAAAGTTTGGAGCCATGCAAGCGCCGCCGCAACTCAGTCCTTGATGGGGAGCCTTCTTTATCCCCTCGCTGTCCATCAACCAACTGCTTTCATTTCCCAGCAAGCCACAGTGCATCCCGCAGGCAACTGACGGGCTCTGCGCCATCCCGTTCACTCTCATGTGACCGCATGCCACTCCGATAGATGCCTGACCTTGCAGGACGCTGGTGAGATGACTCAACAGGTCATTGAAAAACTCGGGCACTCCCTCGTAACCTGGGGAAAAAAAGTTTTTTTCAGTAGTTAATGGGTGAATGCTCTGAGAGGCAGATCAAAAAATGGAAGATATCATCTGTTGTCTCACTCCCGTGGTGTCACGGGACTCGTTGGATGCACCACTGAGAGATTTCAAAGTGCCTTCCTTGCTACATACACAAGATCACCATGGCAACAAGCGGAGGGAAGGCCAGGTGGCTTTCAAATATACTGCAAGCAGACAAACACAGCTGTGCCTGCAGCCGATACGATAAGAGTTCTTAAATGAAGGGCTTCAAATATACTTTTCCCATCCTTTCAAAATGTTCTACACCTTCCTTTGGGATTTTAGAGAAATAATGACATAAAGTCAAGATGAAATCAAAATAGCTTTATAGTGTGAAGAGTCTAATTAATATATATATATATATATATATATAGATACACACATACATACATACATACATTACAATACACAAAAGGGCTCTTTACTATTCCATACTGACACCATGTGGTCTGATATTGCATTGCTGGTTTTGGAAGTGGGAATATAGTTCAGTGCATAAAAATAACATAAAGATGGTGAGGAACTACACCTACCTGGGAATGCGTTGATATCGATGACGGCATGCTGGCCGGTCTGGTTGTTGATAATGATGTCAATTCCGAACAGAGAAATACCGAGGGCCTGTCGTAACCTTCTGGAAATCTTCTGAATGACATCATTTCTGGGTGCCCAGTTCTGGCCATCCATGTTGTCCCTCTTGAAGAAACCAGAAATGGGACAAAAAGTATGAAAAGCCTGTTTGTTGAACAAGTATGGTTATCATTCAATACGAAAGCCAAAACTTTTTATATGTGCTTTTTATAGAAACATTTGATATATTCATTTAAATTTGAACAGGACTGTTTTTAGATTAAAACTAAAATGTCTAAATTGAAGGATTTCGCTGAATGTTTCCAAAAGAGTTTAATTGAAGGAAAGCTTAGCCTTACTTGAGTAATAAATATGAGGCATGTTGACTTACGAAGGTCAGGTGAGACGAGGACTCTGGTTTGGACACATGATGACTGTTAAAAGATATTGCTCTCCTGTCTAGAGGATAAAAACCACACAACTTGTTCAGTTTTAAAATAACGACTATAAACGTTTTACACTACTGTTCAAAACTTTGGGGTCATCAAGATTTATTTTGAAAGAAATTTATACTTTTATTCAGCAAGGACACATTAAATTGATCAAAAGAGACCTTAAAGATATTTATGCTGTTAGACAATATTTCTGTTTAAAATAATTTATATTCATTATTAATCCTGAAAAAAAAAAAATAATAATAATGATAATAATAATAAAAAATGTTTCCTGAGCACCAAATTTGACACTGAAGACTGGAGTAATGGCTGCTGAAAATTATTTTTTTTGCCAAAGTAACAATTGTAATACTACAGTTTTTACTATACTTTTAATCAAAGAAATGCAGCTTTAATATACTGTAAACGTATTAGATTTTTTTGACCTTTTAAGCTACATTTATTCATCGAAGACAAATCCCAAATCCTTCATAGAGTGTAAAGTTTATGCAACAAAAATGACAAAATCTGGGCAATAGTGAATTTATTGTACATCTGGGGCATCATTCACCAAACCTCACTGACCACTGAGAAGAAAAGCTTTAAGTTGCTTATTTAACGAATACCACGTCAAAGACAAAATAAACCACTTTTCTGTAGCGAACGAAAAGGGTCTAAACATCAGGAACATATGTTGACAGAAAGGTTGAGACAGGCTGAGAGGCCTCGCCATCACACAAGAGTTGCTCATGAGTGCCATTAATGTCAATCTCACTTTGTTCTGATACAGCTTTCAAACATAAGGTAACCTTATAAAAAGTCCCAGACTAAGAAGGTTTGTTAGCATATATGCCAGTGAGGACGGTTAAAACTAGCCGAAAGAGACCTGATGTCTAAATTTCTCGACCTGGCACCCTATAAAGTGTTTTTATTGGCTTTGATGCCGCCCAATGAACTTGTGTCCCATCTGTGACACACACTGAGTGCAATTTGCTGATTTCGACATGAAAAGAACTTAGTTTTAGTTTGCCTTCTGATTCACGTATCCAGTAAAATACATCAAATACTATGAATCGTCCATCATAGGGATGTCGGAGTGACTCAACTGACCTGTGGGTCCTGATGGGAAGTTCCTTATGGAGGGCCGATGTACCACGCTGTAAGCCTCTCCCACTACAAACACCTTATACAGCACTGCATTATGGTTGATAAAGCTCTGGAGGACACATGGGGGCTTTATGTCTTTCAGATCTTCCTCACTAAATATGATGGCCATCTATTGAGCAGAAACCAAATCAACACATTGCAGAGCAGGTTGGTTATAAATGAACATGATATGATACATAAATTCTTGTTGTGATCTTGAAATGAAAGAAGCAAACGAGAAAACTTTCACGACACTAAAAGAGCCACACCAAAACCCCTGTCGACCCATGCATGTACTTTTTATCTCCTTTAGCTAAGTAAACCTATTTGCTCACTGTCATAAAACACATGACCGTCAACCTGTTTGCACAAACACAGTCATTCAGCAGTCGCTGGTGACACATTAATCTAGTACACCCCTCACTATCAACACCGTAAAACTGAGTTAATAGTGTCTTCGAGCAGTATTACGAAGGAATGCGAGGGATTGGAGACTTTGCTTGTACATTAGTCAATGTGAATCAAAGATATGGTGCCCATAACGACGGATGGTGCACCCCTGTTAATCATCCATGAGGACAAAAGGGTTTGTTGGGAATCGGTGCAATGAGAGCTCTGGGATTACACTTTCTTTAGAAGTGATTTTTTTTTTTTTTTTTTTTTTTTTAGAAGTGAAAAATAAATATACCAAAATGCATTTGAAATACATGTATTATACACTATGAATACATTTACATTTTTAGGCTTGTGTACTTAATATAAATACCCTGCCATTGGTATACTAAATTGATAAACTTAAAGTCTGCTAAATTGGAACCACTAATCTTGTACATAAGTTGTATTCGCGATTTCTGGACCAAACATAAATGATCACATTCATCTACTCTTTAACAATCCGCTACCTACCAAAAAAATGTGTCTCTGTAGGCAGCCTAGGCTCTGAGATCTGCACACAAAAACAATTGGTTTCACCAACCACTCAAAACCAAAATAAATAGTGTTCCAAGCAACTGGGTGTTGTGAGGTTTTGCATGGCTGCACGTGGAGTCGGAGCTAAAGAAGAAGCCAGCGTCTATCAACATACACATGTTCATTTTTTGAAGGCCTGCTTATGGGGTGGGCAGCTAGCGGATCGTTAGGAAATATTAGATGAATGTTATGTAATCATTTACGTTTGGGCCTTTTTTTGGGCCTGAAATTGCTGATACAACCTTCAGTTATCTGTGAATTCAGTTATCTGTAGCTAGTGCTTGAGGTCCAACTAAAGATGTACTTAAGTATATTTAATTGTGCTAAAGTGGAACTATTAATAGTATTCTTTAGGTACACTTTAAATATCTTGCATTTAAAGACTGATATTATACAGAGATCATACTATCCTTAGTAATAGTGATATTAAAACAAATGTTAGGCTTTATATTAAGAAATGTGCATTGTGCAATATTGAAGTACTCCAAATAACGTTTCATTATGATATTTATATCAGTAAGTCTCAAGCGATATGTCAGTAATTTGCACTATACTTGGTATGAAATAAATGTATTTTAAATAGACATTTTTTCACTTGATGTATTTTATGAGGCGGAAGCTGCTGTTAAAGGAAAACTCCGGTCAATTTTAACATTGAGCTCTTTTTTTGTACATTTGGAGTCAGTACAGACAAAAACGACAAAAATTAGTGTTGCCTACACCGTGTTATCATCTTTTTTAAAATTCGCACCCAGATGACTTCAATGGGGCATGTTCTAAAACTGCTTTTAGCCTCTTAAGGCCAATTTATACTTCTGCGTCGAGGGTACGCCGTGTACGGCGTTGGCTATGCACGTAGGCGACGCCGTTGTGAGCATTTATACTTCTGCGTTCAGGTCTTGGTTGCTCTGCATTACTGCTCCGAAACGCTAGTTGGCGGCGGAGGGTTTTAATGTTCCACTGTGTTTAGATTCCTCGCAGCTAGCTGATCATGTTGGAGTTGGAGCTTATTGAGGTGGAAAAACAGTTCACTTTAGTGAAATTACACAAACTGACAGGCAGAAATGAGAGAAGACGTCAGAGGAGATGGTACGTGCAGAAATGCGTAGGAGGAAATACGATGCTACCAAGCCGACCATTCACCGATCAGAGATGGGACCAAGTCACACATGTGCAAGTCTCAAGTAAGTCTCAAGTCTTAACCGTCAAGTCTCAAGTAAGTCCCAAGTATTTTTTGGGGGGGCAAGTCAAGTCAAGTCACAGGCTATAGTCAAGTCAAGTCTTGTAGTAGGTTAAGTCAAGTGCAAGTCAAGTCACCTTATTATTGTAATTTTACATGCAGAATCTGATCTTAATAAAGTGAAAAGACAAGATAAGTATTTGCCAGTAAATTACAATAATTTGAATTTGCATTGTAAATACTCATGTTCAGTAAAATACATCATGGAATTGAAATTGAAACTCTTCTAAACGTGCATCTATGGGTATCAGTTTGGTTTGAAATGGACAGAGGCGCATTCAGAAGTGCATTTGGGTACAATGACGCATTCATTTACTAGCTTACTGATTTAAAGAAATAAAAATGGACCCTCCGCCGTAGCTCGACGTGCACCTCCAAAAATTTGTAACTACGCGTCGAGGCGGAGGCGACGCAGACAGCAAGGGCTTTGATTGGTCAGAGTATACATCAATTCAGGAGTGTAGCTTTTCCGATTTCCCCCTCCCGCTATTAGCGCTATTTTTAACATTTGCACCCTCGTTCTGATAATTATAATACTCCTATAAAGAAAGTAAATAAAGAATTAATCTAAAAATAAACTGTTTTTTTATTTCATTGTTAATATATATGTCTATTATTTTTTTCTTTCTTTTTTGCTCGCAATAAACTTTAATCAATCAATAGATCAACATTTGTTTTGAAACACAGTTTGTTGTTTATTTTCAATACAATGTTCACGGTTACATCATTGATAATACAGTACTAACCAAGTCTGCCACTGGACACATTATATCCTGCCATAGCACAGTTCCACGTGGAGACTGAAAAAATCCTTTAAGTCATTCCGAACAGGTATCGTTATGGCAGTTTGGGTGGAACCTTTATTTTATTGTCTATGGGTGGAACGGGCCCTGGACATCCCTGTTGATTCTGTGGGGATAAAGTTTGTGTCGTCTTGTTATTCAACGTCGATTAGCTCCAGCAGCTGGCAGCTGCTAAAACAACATTCTCTCTCTTTCGCTCGCGGCGCACGGAACCAAAGAGATTCGCGAACCCCCCTAGCGTTCTGGCGGCGAAATGCACCGCGATGCACCACAACCTCACGCAGAAGTATAAAACGGCCACGACGCCGTAGCTGTGACGACGTAGCTACGCCATGGAGTTGACGCAGAAGCATAATGAGGCCTATATGGGACGCGTCTGTGCGTATACTACGGCGTACCTACCGCGCGCACCCTACGCAGAAGTATAAATTGGCCTTTACTCTTCACAGCCAAGTGAGTGGTGTTATTAAGAGTGACCACGGTCAATCTGACTGCAGTAGATGTGAAAGATATGAATAAAAATTATGTTAATTCAGCCAGCTCACATACACATTTGCTTCCTGTTTTCGGTCGAAGCCCACAGTAGTCGATTGTCAAGTTCACGTGCGCGATCATTGGTGAATATCATCTCAAACCTACCAATGTGTGGTGTTCTGAGAATATCAGCTCAAATGGATAGTTCATCCGAATCAGATGTTGAACACACGGAGGAGGTTTGAGATGATATTCTCTAATGATCGCGCGCTTAAGATCGACAATTGACTATTGTGGCCTTCGACCGAAAACAGGAAGTAAATACAGAGTGAGCTGGCTGAATTAACATAATTTTTATTAATATCTTTCACATCTACTGCAGTCAGATTGACCATGGTCACTCTTAATAACACCACTCACATGACTTGTGCATTCGTATTGACAAATCTATTATGTTAAGAGGCTAAAAGCAGGTTTAGAACATGCCCCATTGAAGTCAACAGGGTGCGAATTTTAAAAAGACGATAACACGGTGTAGGCAACACCGATTTTTGACGTTTTTGTCTGTACTGACAGCACTCCAAATGTACAAAAAAATGATCTCAATGTTAAAATTGACCGGAGTTCTCCTTTAAGATAAGCAAAGAAAATTTTGTTTAAATTACTATTTTTTAATTGTCAAAAATCGGCCTTTCTTCGGTTCTGTAACTTTACTAAATTGTAAATCCTCCATAAAAAGTTGTGATACCCAAGCCCAAAATTAATCATTTTAACAAAACATAATTTAACGATTAACTAACATCATGTAGCATCTCTTATGTAAAAGAAGAGTAAAGTCTGGAGTGTGTGTCTTCTTACCTCATGGGAGTTAATGCCATGAGCTACCTGGGTTTTGCAGACTGCAATCAAACAGAAATAGTGTGAAAATGTGTGTCGCTCCAGTACACATGGGCAAACATATAAGAAACAGTTCATCTGAAGTCAAATGGACTGTTGAGAGAAACCCTGCTCTGAATGAGAGGCATGTGTGCAAATCGATGTATAAATCGTCATGAAGATTTTAAAATGGCAAACTTACTGAAAGGAAATGTGATTCCATGTTTGCGGAGTTGCTCCAGAGTCTCAGTGCCACATTCACTCTTGAGAACTATGAACGGAGGTGAGCAGATTCTGTCATCTACAGAAAACACACATTAAAAATGCATTTCATACATACAGTGACTTGATAGACCTCTGGTTTAACCATCCTGGTTTAAAATTCATATTGACATTGTCAAAAAAAAAAAAAAAAATGACAGGGTTATACAACTTCCCTGATGTCATACTGAAGAATATAATTATTTAAACCATGCAGTTCTTAGTTATTCTTAGTTTGGCATGAATTTGTATTATATTTTTTTACTGTGAAATTGTATTACTATTATTTGTAAGATTAGAAAAAAACAACAAAAAGAAAAACTTTGCTTAATGTTTGATAAACGTTTTTGGGCCAATCAAATATAAAATATATGATATTTTGACAAGTGAATGGTGGTTCAGGTTATAATATGTCACATGGTGCGACTCCAAAAATGTACAGTATAATATTTATAAATGAATGATTCATGATATTTGTCAAAAATAAACAATACTTTTTCCTTGAAAGTACACTTTTCTGAAAATTATTTTTAGGATTAAGTTAGTCACTTTGTTTTTAAATAATGAAGAAAATACATATATTAAATTCCATACAATATTTTTAATACTATGGAAGTCGATGGGGTCCATCAAATGTTTGATTACCGACATTATTTAACATATCTTCTTTTGTGTTCAGCAGAAGAAAGAAACTCATACAAGGTTTTGAAACAACTTGTTGGTGAGTAAATGATGATATAATTTGAATTTTTGGGTGACCTATCACTTTAAACACAGAAATGTCAATGTTAAGAAAGCTTTGACAACATCTTCTTCATGGACCTGATCATGTTTGGCCACACTCTGATTTAGTTTGTAAAGATCTGGCAGAAATACAAGGTGGTGTATTTTCAGGTATTTCTTCAATGTGTTTTGATTTCATCTCACATTCTCTCGACAACATCTTGACAAGATTAACCAGCACACCCTGAGCATAACTGCTGGTAGACACCAAGTTTAGATGGGGACTTAATGATGTGTAGCCAACACACATTTTAAGTGATGACTACACTTTCTACAGGATAATATTACTACCGGATCCATGGAAACATTTATAATTAAACCGCTGGGGAATCTGTGAATTTTCAGCCTGCTTTTGATCTGCAACCATCAATTCAATCGTATAAACAGCTTCTTTTCCAAGAGCCAAAGTGCAGAATATTTATAGCCCCTCAAAACAGTCGTTTTCTATGTTGAGTCAGTGGCTCAATGCAACTCAGTGAAATAAAGCATCCCATTTCACATTAGACAAGGAACATGAATCAATTTGATCAAACAAGCAGTAAACTTTAAAGGGATACTCAACTTTTTTTGGAAATAGGCTCCGTTTACAGCTCCCCCAGAGTTAAACAGTTGAGTTTCACCGTTTTCAAATGTATTCAGACGATTTTCTGATATTTAGAAGAACATCAGTAACCAGACAGTTTCTGGTCTCATTGACTTCCATAGAAGGAAAAAAATATATACTATGGAAGTCAATTAGACCAAAAACTGTCTGGTTACTGCTATTCTTCTAAATTTCAGAAAATCGGCTGAATGGATTCCAAAACGGTAAAACCCAACTGTTTAACTCTGGGGGAGTTGTAAAATTAGCCTATTTCCAAAAAAAGTGGAGTATCCCTTTAAAGCAGCCACAAATGCTGAACATAGATGTGTGACAATTATGTATGAGATAACTAAAGTGCACTCATGTGGATATGGGTTGATTATGATTCATTATGAAGTCACATGATGAGCACCAATTTACACAACTAAGTTAACTGACACCAGATTATCTCTTCCAAAATAGTGTTGAGCTTTACTGGAAATCCCATGAGTAAGAACATAAATGTAAGTCACGTAACGCAGTACTTTGTTTTACATTCAAACATGACCAAGACAGCGTGTTGTCCTCTATTAGCTCATGGAAAAAAATTGTCTCATTTAACAAAATCAGTCATTGATGACAATTGCTGATAGAGGTAAACATGCATGTATTGAGCAATTGAGTTATTTCAAAAAGGATCTTGAGTAATACAGAGGGTATATGGGCTGTGTTATCTTTCTTTTTCCAGAATCCCTAGCAGTGTTGTTTCATAAGCTAATAGACATAGAGGCGGTTGCCTGGTGAATGGGCCCGAGAAAATAGTCACTCCCTTTGTATCCTAAACAGAGTCGTCTCTTCCTTAGAGACAGGGGAAGCACCAAGGCGGATGGTTAACTTCACACTAACCCTCAGCTGACACTCTTTACCCATGCGTCTCTCGGGAGAACATTGATGATATGGTTTTAATTGGCCAACATCGGCTTCTCTGATCTGGATACAATAGATTTTTCCCTGAATTCTATAATGAACAGAGTTTATGCAGCTTGATCATGAAAGCAAAAGAGGGACAAAACAAGTAGATATTCTATAATTCATGGTAATATCAATTTATTGACTCAAAATGGGATCCTGATATTATAGTTTGTTATAAAAATGTACTAAATTCTAAAAGAATGCAAATTGAAACCCCACTGTACACTAGTACAATCAAAAGTTTGGGGTTAGTACGTTTTTTTGTTGTTTTGTTTTAATGAATGAATAGTTTTATTTAGTAAGGACACATTAAATTGATCAAAAGTGACAGAAGAGACCTTTAGAATGCTACAAAAAATTCTATTCACATAAATGCAGTTTTGAAGTTTCTATTCATCAAAAAATCCTGCAAAATATGTTCGCAATTTTCACAAAAGTTCAGCTTTACGTCACAGAAATAAATTACATTTTAAAATATATTAAAAATAGAAAACCGTTATTAAGTTGACAGTTAATGTAACAATATTTCATAATATTTTTGATCAAATAAATGAAAGCTTGGTAAGCACAAAAGATAAGATAAGCTTCTTACAGTCCCCAAAATTTTGAATGGTAGTATATAGGTAAATAGACCATTTTGCAAGATGTAAACAACACTGGTCCAGGAACACTTCCTGTTTCAGTTTGTAACTGTTTTCTTTATTTCACATGTAAAGAAAACATGTTAAAGGTGTTTGTTTAACTTTTTGATTCAGTTTCATATGTTCTGTTGGTTGTATTTTATCCCAGCTTATATGTAGTGTTAAAAAACTGAAACAGGAAGTGCTTCTGGACCAGTGTTGTTTACATCTTGCAAAATGGTCTATACCAATGTGTGTGAATGTTTAGGTTGAATATTTTGAATAAGAGTGCAGATTGTGATGGAATTCCTTAGGCACTACGACATTCTCACAGCTGGTGATTCTGTTGGCTTGTAGTGAGCCGGCGGGCCTCCTGTTCTTTCTGTGGCCAGTGAATGCAGCGCGCAAGCAGCACAAAGAATGAACGACTCAGCAGCTTTAGGACATAAGCCCTCCATAAGCCTCACACTTCCCCTGCGCAAAGGCAAAAACCTGCCCTCCTCGTGATGGTTCACCCCTGAAGAACAAAGGAGGATCTAAAGGCCTGGTTTATAGAACCCTTTACAACATTTAGAATTTGTGGAAATGCTGTAAACGGTCTGATATTTTCAATTTATTCCTGCACACTAAGGCGGGCTTATCTGAAATGGGGAATACCACTATAATTGGGTCGCCCATCTTTAATAATTGTATTTAGCACAGCTGTACTTTGCGTGATTACGTCACATTCATGTACTTTTGTGTATCTGTGCTGTAGACAGACCTTGCATGCAGTCTTCAAGTTTATGGATTAGAGTGTATGACTTGCAGCGGTCCAGCAGGGTACGAATGGCTGGAAGAGGGTCCAGAATCACTGTTTCAGGGTGAGCATCTATGTAGTCCTGGAAAAAGAAATGGAAAATTCAACTGAAATTCAATGATTCAGATACAGTAAATATGATTGAAGCATGACAAATTTATGGCTACTTGAGTGGATTTGCTTAGTTACCTGAACACCCTGAACAAGTAGCATCGACTCTGTGACATTCTGGTCAGCATCAACAATGTGGTCGGTCAGCTTGTGGATGATGACATCAAATGGTCCCTGCTTCTCTATTGGCTGGCTCAGATCCAGCTAGACCGGGAGAACAAGGTCAAGAGCTCAGTAAACATTTTCAGCAATAACCCGGGATAACTCGTTTGTCAATATATAAACAGGCAAGCGATGTATTTTTCTGCAAATGCACCTGTGAGCATTAAAAGCAAAAAGTGTTAGCAAAGTCAGTTGAACCGGTTGAAACAGCATTGATATACTTTGAAATTCCAGTTTTACCACAAAATTCAGTTTGCTCAAGGGGGGATGTTTTAAAGAACAGACGTTTATGACGTGACGCTATTTGTAAAGGTGTGATGTGTTCTGTCACTCAGACTAAACTGACTGCTAAACTCTGAAAACAAAGTGAATTCTATGTTAGTCAATTTCAATTTGTGGATTATTTTCTGTTTATTAGACACCCAACCCCTATAGGTACATGCCATGGTTGTGACTCAGATTAACACATCACAACAAGGGAAGGGGAAAGTGTCTGTGTATTTTCAGCCTGTTTTCATTTACCAAACTCTGACTGACATTAGAAAGCTAAATTCAGAGCAATGTAGATTCATAAAATGGTACAGAAACACTATAGCCTCCGGTGTATGATAGACAGCGCAATGTGTTCTGAAGGGTTTACATGTAGTCAACGTGAAGAAAGGCAGCTTGGGGCACATGTGGTTCCTTTACCATGGGTTTAACCTTTTGGGATGTGAAAATATTTATTTTGGATCAGACCACAACGGTTCTCGTCAAACGTCAGAGGCATTTGTACACGACCTAGGCAGTTAAAAGGGGATGTGGGCATCCCCTAAGTGCACTTTTATTAAAAATACTCCAAAGGCAGCACCAAATGAAGGACTATGGGCTGTGGAGACCACCAGAAACAAAGAAAGTGGCACTCTTAAGGGGCTTATCAGCTTATTTCCTAAATGGTTCTGATTCATATTCCAATGTCTGGAAACATTATAATCGCCAGCGCTGATGTGTGACAGTTTAAGAAAAAAGACATAAAGAGCGAAGAAGATGACTAAGAGAAAGTGACACACACACAGACACATCATGACAGTTCAGAGAGAGACGACCCCCTCTTTTTCCTTTTTGTAGCTGATACACATCACCTGATATAAAGGATGACACAGCCATGTGTTACAACACATTAAGGTTGTCTTAATGTTTAAAGTAGCTTTTTAAACAGGCAAAGAGCTTTATTGATTCTTGGAAATTGAGGCCTAATTTGCTTTGCAATTATCATTCTTCATTTCCTCATCTAACAGACGTCTTCCTGAAAAACTAAATATATAACTTGCTGTTAACTTCTGTTAAACAGTGAGGGGCATGATAACATTACACCAAGATAAGTGTAAACGAAGGAGATGGCAAACAAAAAGTCATTGTCTTGGCTTCTGCACAGTTGATTACTCAGTGGCTTAATCAATTACGAGAGTAGGCAGGAATGAAAAAAAGAACATTTAATCAATATGTATAAACTGCCATTCAAAGGTTTGGGGTCAGTAAAGATTTTTTTTTTTTTTTTAGAAAAACTTCTTTCTTTAAAGATTTTTTTAAAGTAAAATGTATACTTTCGTTTAGCAAGGAAGCATTCCATTGAAAGACATTTATAATATTACAAAATATTTCTATTTCAAATAAATTATGTTCTTCTGAACAAACCAAATCAGCTTATTAGTTAATATTAGTTAGTTAATAGTTAGTTAATATTTCACGATATCAAATGAATGCTGCCTTGATGAACATAAGAGATTTCATTCAAAACGTTAAAAAGGTCTTACTGACCCCAGGTGTTTGATAAAAATATACGTTTATGAGAATAATATGTTGTCATTTTTAAAACAAGTGTGGGTATATGTTCTTGAGAAAGTGTAATTATCTTATCTCTGTGACATGCTGAAACTGCACTTCTATATAAATGTACTATGAACCTATAAAATAGTTTAATAAACAAAGTAGGACAGGCTGACAAGATGACCGACAAATACTTAACTTTTATAGTTGCCCGCAGAAAATACACTACCCAAAGCCATAAATCAGTTGAGATACTATTTAAAACATTAATTTGATGACATGAAGTGATGAAATTCAGCAGTCTTCCCATGATCGTTTTTAGTGACTTAATGATTTAATGATCACATTATCTTAATCAAATTAATGACACTCCCCCTGTCTAAAGTGATAAACCCATGGACTGATTGCTAGATTGTGAAGTACTTCAGACCATATAAAATCTAGGTGCAGCTGCATGGGTAGCCTATTGTATGATGTGTAAACAGGTCAAAGTCCATTCTTTACTCTCCTTGGTATCCACGCCCTACATTCTGGTTAGCAAAAAGGTGTTTATAATGCATCCTGGGAGTGGAGAAAACAAAAGCCCTCAGTGTTTCACTCATCCAGACAGTTTCACTGATAAGGGTCTGACTCTAGTAAAGGACCAGAATGAAGGGAAAAGGAAGGACATTGGTTTAGTCTTGCAGCCTTCACATGCAAGTCCCAAAATAAAACAAGGTGACTGTGTTCCCAGAATTTTTATCATCATAACTAATGCACTTTCGTGGCAAAACAGTAAAGAACAATGTTTGTCCATAAACATTGAGTTCTATGCTAGCAAGCAAACCTACACTTCATTTTCACTTCAACCAGCTTAGTTTGTTATAAGAGGCCCTTAGGTATCTCAGGGCCACCACAATATAAACATGGTTGACAAGGGCATGTACTACTGGAATGTGCAAATACTGTCTTCATATATCTGGTAAAAACATTACCACAAAGAGCCAGTCATTTACTCCAAGATAAAGCATTAGATCCAAAAATCTGAAAGCACTAGTGAAATGTTTTTATTTAGCATTTTTATAATTTAATAGTTTTTAGCTTCATATTTTTCTAGTTTTAGATTTTTGAAAATTAATATTAAATATTATAGTGGTCTCACACAGAATCTCAATGTCTTGACACATACAGTACATTTTGGCTTTTCCATTTCTGTGAGTCATGCGTCTAATGATTTATCAATGCCAAGGTGAAGCAAAGGAAAGGTGCCACAAATGCAACAGTATCATTCACCAAAACCCATAATGCTGTTAACTCTCTATCCTTGAGCAATCATGGTGATATAGCCAAACTCAGTTCATCAGCACATAAAATGGGGTACTAATTGTTTTTGTAAGTATTAGAGACCAAGGACATCTGTAGAAGACAAAAAAAACAACGCTCTCGTCCCTGAAAAAGCCAGGTGTTCTTTCCTAGATTTTTTTTACAGTGCCATTGTTACAGCGTTAATTTTGACAGCAAAATTTGTTTTAGTCTTTTGACTAAAATGCCATTTAGTTTTCATTATATTTTAGTCATCTGAATTGATTTTGTTCAGTCGACTGAATATTATAAGATTTTATCTACAGTACATTTAGTCGACTAAAATCTAATGGGTTTAGTTTAATTGTAATACAAACTGTAACTCTTGGAGAAAACATCTATTACTATTTGAATATGCAATCCAAACACAGATTTAGCCTAAATCCAGTGACATATAACATGTCTTTATTTATTTTAAAAATGAACAAAATGAAATAAAACCACTTCTCATGAATAAACAATAACATAGCCTTTTTTAAATTAATGATATACAGGTGAAACTCGAAAAATTAGAATATAGTGCAAAATTTCATTTATTTCAGTAATTCAACTCATATATTAGACTCATTACATGCAAAGTAAGATATTTCAAGCCTTATGTGTTATAAGTTTGATGGTTATGGCTTACAGCTTATGAAAACCCCAAATTCCAAATTAGAATATTGTGAAAAGGTTTTCATATCTGTAAGCCATAATCATCAAAATTATAACACATAAAGGCTTGAAATATCGTAATGAGTCTATATAATATATTAGTTTCACCTTTTAAGTTGAATTACTGAAATAAAGGACATTTTTCACAATAATCAAATTTTTCGAGTTTCACCTGTATGCAGTCTTTAAACTTCCATACAACATTCTACATTCTTTCTAGAAGATATGTTTTTTCGTATACATTTAATAAAGATCAATCCTTATTAAAGCTGTTAAAGTTATTCAGTCAAGAACATTGAGTGATTTTCTCTTTTTCTTTTGCTATTTGCTTAACATAAATGACGGACAGCAGCAGGTTATTTGACTGCTGGATGCACGTATCAAATACACCGATACGCATCCAATGGTTTAGATTCACCAAAGACTTAACCAATTATGTTTATGTGAATACTCACCAAAATGGACATTTTGACATAATTTTGTGTGGATTTGTCCGTTCAAGCGCAAAAAGATAAGAGAGTTCAGTACTTGTGCGCTGCCTGAGAAACATAGTCACGCTTTTTCAGATTTATCCATGTTTGCTCTTCTTTTTCTCCAAGACATTTGTGAACATTTTATGAGACATGCAGCATATGCTAACTTATGTCCTGCCGGGTAGATGAGCATGTTGCAGTTCAAATGTGCACATCTACCATGTAGGACATAATTCTAAACGGATCTCTTCCCAAATCGTCCCTCCCTAAGATTTCGTCTTGACGTACTGTAAATGTCAATCGATTTTCATGATAGAAGTTTGGAACGAAATTACAACGAAAATTATTCATCAACATAATTAACACGCCACTGTTATCAAAAAGTACAGATTGGGTTTAATCTACACTCCAAAAAATCTTCCTCTTGACTGAAGCCAAGTATGCTAGATTAAGCAGGAACAAATGCCAGACTTAAAGACCTCTGTGTACTCTGCTATCCCACTACACTAATGTCCATGTCCTTAGAATTACTTGATAAGCGGAAAAATAACATACAGTCCAATCTATTAAGGCAGTGCTTCAGCTTAGACTGATCAGCCTGATACAAACTGTATTAGCCAAGAAAAGGCTAATCAGTGCAATTTCCATGCCATTTTATAAAGGCAAACTTATGTTTCTGTTATGTTAGGCTATATTAGGCACTGGCTGAGAACCTTTTAACACAAAAGAAAAGTCTCTATAAGCAGTTTACTGGCAAGTAAAACAGCCACAAAAAAGTTCATGAAATAACAGTATGAGCATTAATAATATGGCATTATTATTATACAATAAATGTAGAATTCCACCTGCATGTATAGGTGACTATGTGTCTAGTAATGCAATGCAAGTAACAGTTAAAGTACATAATACTCTGATGGTGATATTTTCAATTTAATTGTCCCCAGGCATAATAGCTTCATTAACATTTAATGAAAAGCACGTTTGTAATGTTTAGAACAGCTGCTGACAAGCGTATTGTGGCACCAACCTGCCATGGAAAATGCATTTAAAAGAAAAAAGAAATGTCAAAAGGGTCCCTTACCTGGATCATCTCTATGCCTTGTTTCCTGGAAAACAGAGGAAAACAAACTATGAATATTTTATAGTCAGTCAGAGCATTGTTGTCTTGCATAATAAACAACATTTTATTAGGACAGAAACAAGACAGAAAAAAATCCTGTTCCTTGGCAACCCAAAAGCAGTTGCTCTTTAGGTTTGGATTGCTGTGTCACACATATAGGACAGAATTCTCAAGTTCCCTCTTCAAAAACAAACATGCACATGCTTAAAATTAGGATTCCTTCCTCTCCAATTCCAGCCATTTCCAGATGGTGCATTTTTTTAACAATGAGTCTGATTGATCAGTTCTTGTGATGTGAGAATATCTGTATTTTTGCAACTTCATTTAGGTTTAGGTTGTCAAGTCCCAGAAAATAACTAAGTACACATCTGTTTCAGCAGTTGACAAACCTGTTGTGATTTAATAAATGACAAGTGCTGAGCCAGAGGTTTGTTTCTAAGTCCTTAGAGCTATAGGTGAAATCATCTCAAGTCCCAAGGTAAATACACCAGTCAAAAAAGAATAACAAATCACTGAACATGTTGCACAAGCTTAGGTAAAATTCCATTGCAAACCGGTTATCTGTAGGTTAAAACATGCTCATAAAAGAAAGGAGATCACGTTACATTAACTCAAAAACACATAACGTTCGTTCAGAAAAACCATGTGGCCTACACACAATATATCATCCGCAGAGATATGCATCTAAGGCATGTCCAATGCCTCCCTTGGCAAACAGTCATATTGATGAAAATGCAGTGCAGAACTGAATAACCTAGGAAACATAATTAATCTGTGAATCAGTTAAGTAACAAGCACAATCTTGCTGCCGACACTTAGGCATGCACGGCGTCGAAACAGATATGCAAACAATGCTAGTTTTAAGTCTGTGGAAATGAAGACTGCCTAACTGCCTGGTTAACTTATCCAGGTGAACTTTGTCCAAGCCTTTGTCTTTTTATAACCAAAAATTCCACAGACAGTTTTAAAGCCAACTAATTATGAGAATACCAGGACAGTAATATACGTTTTTTTTTTTTTTTTTTTTTTTTTTTTTTTAATAAGCAATCTCACAAAACGTCAGAACCAGGTAGACAGGTATATTGACTACGTTGATGTTTTATGGTTGAAAATTTCATATGATGGGTACAGTGAGAGTGTAGGTACATTTCAAATCTATACTGACTTCCATTAGAGTATGGTTTATTAGGGGGAGGCTAGAGAGTTGTCTGATTGGTAAGAGAAGTAAAAACTAGAACAGATGACAGTGAGAAATAGTGAAGAAATAGCTTTATATGTAATGAATTTGAGTTACATTAAGTGAGTGAGAGGACATGAGGTGTGATGAATCGTGTCCTATCTCCTTTTAACACTATATTTCTACACGCCCTACTTGTTTCAGTCATCTATAACTAAATTTGTAAGTAAAGTTTATTTATAGAGTGCTTTTCACAGATAAAATCACAAAGTGCTTTACAAAGTGTAACCACAATAATAATACAGTATACAAACAATAAAAATGACAAAAAATAAAAATTGCCCAAAATTAAACCCAGTCAACTACAGTAAAAGCTTGTTTAAATAATAATCTCTTGAGATGCCTTTTAAAAGAATCGACAGAGTCAGCCACACGGGGGGACAAAGGATGGAGGCTACAGCCGGAAAGAAGCGTTAAAACTAATATTTTAAAATCAATAGGAAATTTGATGGGTATCCAGTGTAGGGAGGACAAAATGGGTGTGATGTGAGACCTTCTGCCAGATCTTGTTAAAAAAAAGCCTAGCCGCAGGCAGCATTTTTAACCATTTGAACATGCTATAGAATAGATTTGTTACAAAAAGTAAACAGAGAGTTACAAGAATCTAAGCGTGAAGAAATAAAAGCATCTCGAGATCAGAGTCTGCTAGAATTACCCTTAATTTTGCAATATTTCTTAGATAATAAAAACAGTTTCTGACCAAAAGTCTAGAATGGCAGTCCAAAGACATTGACTGGTCAAACCAGACTCCTAAATTATTCTGGACAGAGGAGCTCAGAGAACCAAGGTCTCGAAGGATGGATGGTATTTTATTGTCTGGGCCTGGGGCAATAATTACATGTAGGGTTCCAGTCTTTTCCGAATTTAATTGGAGACAGTTACTAGCAAGCCACTATTTAAAAGAAGAGATACATTCCAATAAATCCGTTAGTTTGTGGAACTCAGAGTCATTGAACGAACAATACAACTGTATGTCATCAGCATAAAAATGGTATGACACATTGTTAAAATGACTCAATATCTTTCCCAAAGTAGTAAATATAAACTCTATGCACTCATGATTTGACACTTCTCCAGATAGCTCCTCCCAGAAATAAATATCTTATTAACACTAAATAGCAAGCAGTTTCAATGTTTATTCCTTAAAACTAAATAGTATATATCGTATTTTTTTAGTATTAAGCAATCTAAATGGACCCCTTTTCAATCACTAGGCTAGAAACTATACTAGTTCTTATTTCTTTGCAACTACCATTTTATTGTTACTTACAACTTTTGTGTTTAAGAGATAAGAGCTTTAGATATCAGCAACTACTCATTTCACCTATGTATTTCAAAAGTATCCCAGTTTTCATATCAGCAAAGAAACAGGTGCTAGTAGTAGCTATATAGGCTACTTTTGTATGTATTCAGATTGTGAGCCATTTTACTCTTAGATACGATTTTATGACAAGTAAAAAGCACTTTTAGCGAGATAAGAAACGTTACCGGTCACACTTGATATATCTCATGGATCTCTTGGATAAAATGTAGATAGTATCTCATAAGGTGAATCTCTCGGATAGTTAAAAAGTAAATAGCCACCAGTAACTAACTGGAACAAGCATTTGTCCGAAGTGAATGGCTATTATCTAATAATAAACTCACTGGTGAAATCGAAAAAGCCTACTTTTTGCATAACTTAGCATACTGCTCTATCGAAAATTGTATTTAGTAACATAAGTAAATATTAGTTAGTTTAAACTAAGGAACAAATATTAAAACAGCTTGCCACATGTGCTTTGGATAGACTGATATGTCCGGTTTGTGACTCGCGCCGCTGAGATGCGCTTTACGCACCTGCACAAATCCACGAAGATCTGGAAACCGAGTTTTTTTATCTTCTTCTCGCTGAGCCAGTATCCAACTCTCTTTCCTTTCACGAACGTCTGCATCTCTGAAGAGAGAGATAGGCTATGTTAGTCCATAATATGCAGAGTGTATTAGTAAAGAAATCGACCAGCAGGTGTTAAGTAGCCTATTGTGAACTAAACGAAAAGCAAATTTGAGTGGTTAATGTAAAAAATACAGAAAATGTCATGACGGCATGTTTGAACCTACCTGACAGAATCAATGAGCTCTGATCAGTTACGAGTCTCGTAAAGTCACAGGTTTAGACGGTCCTCAGTAGTCCATCCAGATTTGCTATTGCCCTCCAGAATGCGTGTCCCTCTGTCTAAATAGTTGTTCAATTTTATGACAACTTCGTCACATTATATGACAGCAACACGTATCGACATAACAAACACATCATGACACATCAGAGTATGAAACGCGTAGCAGCTATGTCCATTCTCTAACTTCAGAAGTCAAAACCCTATATATCCAAATGGTCTGTCCATTACTTAGCTAGCAATGCTGTCGATTAGCGATGTAATGTTGATTGGCCGTTTGGAGGACAGTTTGCCCAAACACACCCTCTTTCAGAGGCGGGCAGCGCGTTTATCATTGTTCACGGGTTGCATTTGTGAGACAACTGCTCCAGGATTCATCATTCATATTTGGTTGTACGTACTAAAGTTCAAATCTCTCAAAATAAGAAATGAGGAAATTAAAAAAAAAAAGGTATAATAGCTAAAAAATAGCTAAAACATTTGTAAGCACTTGATAGCAGTATATTTGTGATAAAAATAAAAATAAATAATCATTTTTAAAATAAAAGCAACAAAAATAAAACGTACTAAAAAGATTCAAATATGTGTTTACCTGCATGTCATGTAATTAACTGGCATCAGAGAACAGTGGAGCTTCTTTAGATTATTATTAATCATCGTTATGTTAATTTTATTATTGACCTACTGTAGGCTAGGCTATCTTATTAGGCTACCTTAAATCTCAGGGGGTACTTCAAGAAAATATATTAAGTCAAAGAGGTTCAGCTGACCAAATGGTTGTGATAATTGTGATGTACTCAATTATGAATATTTTAAAACATAATATAATCTAAAACAAGTACCTAATTTTTGTAATCCAGATTACATATAATCTGTTACTGCCCAGCACTATTGGCAGTATTTTCAAGCTTTGTCAACATACTTCCCACACGTTCACCATTGCTGATTTCTTCTCAGCAGCAAACATTACCTGTCTTGCTTGACAAACATGTAATCTACCTTTACTGAGAAAGGTGAAAAAATTTATATTAGGAACAAGACCAGACCCACCACCAGCACCCTGTGTTTAGGGCCTAAAATGATTATTCTTATTTTTCAAAATAATTGTTATTTCACCCCCATTACCACCATAGCAATTCTAAAAATCGTTGTGCAATTTGTGTGGTTCCTGTAGAAGCCGGGCAACATGGATACATAGTTGTTGTGGATATTTTAAATTAAAATCAAGATGACCAACTGATTCAGATTATACCAGTTCTGTCAGTTAATGAACTGCTCAAAAAAAAAAAAAAAAAAAAAAATTGTAAGCAAAAAATGAAATCATTGCATGTATGAGAAGAAGGCTCTAGGGGGCAGTAGAGTCCTTTATAAAGTCTCCGAAGATTCACTGGAACTTCCCGGATGTTTGCCATTCCAGGAAGTGGGTCCTATGACAACAATCCTGTGACAGGGTTGTGTGTTTTGGATTGAGGAACGTATTGCCCTGAAAATCGCGCAAAATGGATTGATCGTGTGATCACAGTAAGTAACACTCATCGAAATCATGTGTTTAGTCGAAATGATGGGGGGCGTATTGCTATAAAATGACACACCAGTAACGTTACTAGTCAACAGCTTTAAGAAATCTCCACCATGTGTGAGCTTTCTTGTGTTCAAAAGACTGTGAATGTTTGTTCCTTCAGTGAATGTTATATTTAATTTAATTTAATTATATTTAATGATTGGATTAGTTATGTGTTTCGTAAAACGTTAAATAAGCTAATTGTTTAGGAAAATGTTTTTAAAAAAATAAATATTTAATTTACTGTAAGTTGCATGTTTTATATTTGATAATAAAAACAAATTTTAATGGTGGTTTACAGTTTAAATTGAGAAGTTTTTATGTATTTCCTGAAACCTAAGCAGTAATCACACCATTGATCACATGGGTTCACAACCATGTAAGTGTTTGGTTTCTTGTCAGCAACTGCACTGAATGCATTGCATTCTGACTTTGTTTTTTCCAGAGAAGAGCATGGAGAATGATGAATTTCCGCCAGCGGATGGGGTGGATAGGCGTCGGACTGTACTTGTTGGCCAGTGTCGCTGCAGTGTATTATATATTTGAGATCAGCCAAACATACAACCGACTTGCACTGGCACACGTAGAAAAGACTTCTGGAGCTCAGACAAAATGGCCGGGAGATGCTTCTTCTTCTTCTTCCCCTTCTTCAACCTCATGGACAGTGACTCTGAAAACGAGACTTCTCCTTCTGCCCTTCTGGGTGTGGGCCACCATTTTCCTCATTCCCTACCTCCAGGTGTTTCTCTTTCTATATTCCTGCACAAGGGCAGACCCCAAGACTGTAGGATACTGTATTCTGCCCATCTGCCTTGCTGTTCTCTGCAACCGTCACCAAACCTTTGCCAAGGCCTCCAATCAGATTAGCAGGCTGCAGTTGATTGACACTTGAACTGTTAAAGATGTGGTCCCACATCAGATCTTGGTGCCATACAGTTGGGTGATACAAAAGTGCATTCATAAATAAGATTATTCGTTTTTAAGACTTGGCCCTGACTTTTGCTGTAGGAATTAAATGAGGACAGTGCTTGGGATTATTTTCTTAGAATTTTTCTGTTGGTCACCTGCAGTTCCAAACCAGTTTTTTTTTTTTTTTTTTTTACAAAAACAAATAGGAATATAGTCTAACAAGGTTTCATACTCTTTCAAGCTGAATGTCGAATTTGCTCTGCATTTTAATCAAAGTAGATTTATAACTGGATCCAGAGGTATTTTCCATGTCAGCTCAGTCTTAAAGTACATTTTCTAGAAGTTTCATCTTGATTTAGCTGAAACAAAGAAATTAAATTAAATATATGAACTTTAAGTAGCCTAAATGGAGGCAATTAAGCCATAGTACAAGATGTGGAGATTGTTAATGGGGCTGCATGAACTACATTTCTAAAGATGGGTAGATTTCCTATAAATCAAAATGAATCAAGGAGTGTAAATGTTTCCATAGTATGAGTCCAGTGGATTTTTATTGTCAATTTAATGCTCCAGCTGTTTGTTCTCAACTCCAGTGGACACTGTATGAGAGGAAAATAAGAAAACTACTGACAGTTTCCCATTTGTTTATAAGTGTCCATCTTTTTACTTGTTTTGAATATAAAATGCACTCAAAGAGAGAACAATAAAAGAATTTGTAATAAAAAAACTTTTGTATTAAAAAATAATCTGTGATGAATACATTTTAATATCAGTATTTTGTTCCAAATATGATTTCTTGTCAGCTCTAGTCATGGAAAGATAGTATTTTCCTTTTATTTCTTAATTTGTGTTTATTTGACAAATACTAATTCTGTATCAGTGATATTCAAGTGTCCTCAGAGAAAAAACATCTGTGTGTTTCTGAAATAAGTTCATAATCATGTTTAGTGAAATAGTGTACTCAAACTCTTGTCTTATTGTTGAGGGATATCAGTATGATTTTACAGCGTGAATAATCTTATCTTGCATAAGAAATGCAAAGGTTATGGGTGTGATAGGTTGTAAAGAGTCGGAACATTTGATGAGCTTGTGCCACAGATCCAAATGTTCCAATCTTTAAAATCAATTCTTTTGTGGTTACAATGCCTTTGGTTACATGTGGAATGTTTTATTAATTTGTTGCAATGCTAAAAAAGGCAAATTATTTTTGCCTAAAAGGGCTTGACTGTGACTTTAATGTTTAATGGTACCTATTAATTACTTTCCATTGCAATCTTAATACACTGTGGTTTGAAACAACTCTGGATTCTGACAAAAATCAATAAAGAAATGTAATGTGCAGTGAAAATTATTTTGAAATTGTTACACTGACAAATTATTGTGCAATGTTTTATTGCCCAGTAACTGAAGAAACTTAAGTACTGATTACCAGTCAATTTGTAACATTTTATAACAGGAAAATTGTAATGATAAAACAATTTCCCCTTAGCACTATTATGCTTTTTCTTTTATAGAAAACATTTAAAGTTAGCAAAAATAACATCATATATTTTTAATGGAAACAAAATAAAGTAAAATCCCAACACTGTCTTAAACTCACGGCTGTCATAGGAGTTAAAAGGAGAGCACTTATGTACAAACACCTTTTTATGCACCAAAGGCCATAACAAAAAAATGACAGTTCTGATGATCATGGCCGTAAGGTCTTTATCCGTTTGTTTGGAGGTTCTGACTTTGACCTTTTTTGGGTGGTCATTCCTGTGGTACTATCTTCTTCGTCACTGTCCTCGTCCTCATCATCATCATCTATAAAATGGGTTCAAAAAGAGAAAGAAAAGTTACAAATAATTACTGAACTTGGTCACCCCTTTATTGAGCACAGACAAAGATTAAAGAAGATATTCAGCAGATTATGGCACCCTTTCCATCCTAACTCAATGACCACGGGTTACAAAGGGGGAATATCGAATGTAAAGCTTTTGACACTGAAAGTTAAATGTCTTAAATGTAGAATAAGGAAGTAATAAAGTATTAACCTAAGTAACGTTAAGTAAATAAAAAGAGTTTAAAAACAAACAGAAGGAGCACGCTGACACCTGCAGTGCAATCACACAACATACACACATATAAGACTTTAGTCACTTTGTAAATGTTGTTTTTTTATTTGTTTATGTTTGATGGTTACGACCCACTCTTTATTTTAGCATCTTACCATCCAAAACCCCTCTGCTAATATCCGTTGAACCCTTTTCTTGCTCAACAAGAGCCGTCAACACAACCGATACATCGGCATTTAATTTCTTGACGCCAGTTAATAGTGATTTCAAATCGCCATCTACTTGTACAGTGAACTGGTTTGTCTGTCCATCTCTGTACTTCAGTTCTCCTTTCAGCTCGCACGCTGCCATATTGAAGATGCACACGGTAGGCAAAGCGATTCGGTTGCCAGATCTTAAAATAAATCCACGCAACATGGGCTAAAACAAAACTTGTTCCCTTTCAAGTCGTGTTTTGGGGAGGCGTTATTTGTGAATTAAGAATTATGGAGAAACGAAACGTTTAGGCTTGGTTTTACAGACAGGGTTTAGATTAAGCCACGGGTAGGCCTTAGTTTAGGGAGTACTTAGTAATTAAATTAGATAAATAAACATGCCTTAGAAGAAAAGAAAAAAAAAACTTAATGGTATGCATCTTGAAACAAAGCAATTGCACAGACATATTTTACTATAGATCAGTGCAAGTTGCTTTTAGCTAAAAAAACAGCTCAAATTTGCATATTAGTCTGAGGGCTTAAGCCTTGTCTGTCAAACCGGGAGTTCATTTCATTAATCAACACAGAAAATATAAAAAATGGAATGGGATAGAATCTAGATTCTATTCCATTCCATTTTTTTATATTATAATTCGGGTTTGAATTATATTTATGTGAAATATTTTAACTTTTTAAAAGGGTGTTATTGCTAATATTATACATTTTTGCAGAATTAGGCTAAATATTCTGCAAAAATTAATAATATTAGCAATTACAACCCTTTAAAAAGTTAATTTCACAAACACTTGGGCATCTAAATAAAAGCACTGAAGCACAAGTTAACCCTAAAACGTAACTGTATTTTAGACATAGGCCAAAGCCTCCAAAATCACACACCCATATGTATAAAAGACTACTATTAATAATAAGTAGTATAAGTGGACATGGCAACATTGATTTACCCTTTGAACCCTGACCCAAAGAATTGGCTTCGCGAAATTTTTAAATGTTCCCTTTTACCCAGAACCAGTGATATTATGGGGTGTAATGTTTTAATACACGTTAGTGAGAAAGAAATAACTCTAAATACTGTTTATAAACCCTGAAACTCTCCCGCCAAAACACAATGTATTTGCATAAACCGGAAGCAGCATTGGTTTTGTTATTGTCACAGTTAATCCCTAGAAATTCTTAAGTTTATGTCAAACTGCATGACACATTCTCACATCTTTTCTTTTTTTCATATTACAGTGGACTATTACTCTCTGTCGCAAATAAAACTTGATCTCGTTGGCAGACCAGTTAGTTAGTCTCGTCTCGTGCCCTGGAACAGGAACTGGAAAGATTTTTTTGTGTTCGTCTCTTCAAGGATGGCGGCAAATGATGGAGCGGAGGAGGCTACTGTATCTCTGGTGGACGTCCTAGAGGAGGATGAAGAACTGGAGAACGAAGCCTCCGCGGTCCTGGGAGGCAGTGATTCAGAGAAATGCTCGTATCCAGAGGTTTGACGTGTTTACATGAACACAGCCTTGTCCTATAATATTGTTTTTAGCATGCTGGTTATAACTTGACACAGGCTCTTTTATATTACCGATGTTATTCTTATATAGTGTTTGTTACCGAGATTGTTTTGGTTTGGGGTTAGCATAATATGCTTCGTCGATGCAGCGTCTATTTGTTTGGAAATAAACCTTATTGCACGAACTCATAGTAGCAGCAACATGAATAGGACAGTTAAAAAGGTAGTTTTCAGCAGATGCTTTGCATTTAACGTTACATTCATATTCATAATTTCTTAGGATGAAAATAAGCTATATGTCCTAAAAACAAGGTGATTTTCTTATTGTCCTCACAGGGATATGTGAAGCGTCAGGCTCTGTATGCCTGCAACACCTGTACACCAAAGGGAGGAGAGCCAGCTGGCATCTGTCTGGCATGTTCCTACAAGTGCCATGAAGGCCATGACCTTTTTGAGCTGTATACTAAGAGGTGAACATTGCTACAATAAACCGCTGTAATTTTGCTGGTGCTCTAACCCATTTAAGCTTATTTTGACATTTGTATTCATAATATTTTTGTCATTATGGCAGTGAGATTATTTAGCCGTTTACATATTGACATATTTGTCACCGGCAGCATCATAGGCAATAAAATCGTGACCTGTCACAAGAAAATAGGTTTAAAGTCAGCAAGAAATCATAATGGACAATTTTTTAAATGTAATATTGCAGTATTTACATTAGAAATGAAATATCAATTCATGCGACATGAGATCACAGCAAAGGATTCAGTCAAGTCCTAAATTTTTTTTTTCTTGTTTGAGAATCCATTTCACTCGGAAATACGTCACGATAAAGAAGTTAAGACTATCACAAATTGCATTTCATGCTGACTTTAATGCAAGGAAAATTCCACATGGAAATCTGGAGAAATCTTAGTAGATAGTTTGGATTTAATTGCTCACATACCTTACTTTAAATCACTTGCAGAGGTTATGTTATGCGGAAGCTGCATTCATTATATGAACGTTAATTAATATTACAGGAATTTTCGATGTGATTGTGGAAATGACAAGTTTGGGGAAATGGAGTGCAAGCTATTTGGGGTAAGTTATGTTTTACCATTAGTTTGAGTTTGTGGCTTTCAGTTTTAACTGTAGTGATGGTGATTATTTAAGATTTTCTGTTATGCAGGATAAAGAGAAAGTGAATTCGGGGAACAAATACAGCCACAATTTTTTTGGCTTGTATTGCACATGTGACAGACCCTACCCAGATCCAGAAGACGAGGTAATGTGCATTTTAGTTTGAGTTGCTTTCTATAATGTTTTTCTGTCACCTATAGTTCTGTTGTCTGATCATATACTGTATTGCATACATTTTAAAATTATTAATCCATATTCTAATTTGAATTCTGCTTGTGACTACTGTATGTTTGGAGAAGGCGTTTCGGTACAGGTGTTACACCCTGTTCAGGTGTATACTGATGACGTTAGGGACTTTAAGCAACAGCTACTGGAAGTAAACTGTTAACCAGTGGTGTCATGGCCATTCTAAGGCACGTGCCCCCTCAGATTTTTCCTCCCTGATATTTTTTCATATTATGCTCCATAATTACCAAATGTACTCTTCCGACTCAAATGCATTCTTCTGGATGTGTAATAAATCAGTCAGCATCAGCCCGCCCCTTTTTCCTAAAATGGTGTCTGCAACTCACTCGTATCACAAGTTAAGCTGGCAATGTTTTACAGATAGTCTTGAAGTGGTAAGTGGGCAAAGCAACAAATCGGGACTGAATTAGTTATCGGATGATATTAAAAGGTAGTGGGATTATTTGTGGTTGACCTGGAAATTTGAACTTGATCAAAAAGTTATGGATTTGATATTAGCTGCGAATTCAGAGCATTAACTTAAGTTGTGTTAGTGTAACGTTATTGATAGCTAGCCTAGTCTAACCGTAAACTACTGTAGTTGGCTAACGTTACTGGCCTGCCATACAAAGCCAATAAGCCATAGTAACGTTATCTGATCGGTTTTGAAACATCTGTTCTGTTTTGTCTTGTGTCAAAGTCTCCAGCTGGTTCAATTGTTTTCAGTTTCATAGAAACGTTGTTGGCTAACTGCAAAATCCAACCTAACGTTATCAAGGCATCGACTTGATGTTTCTCCCATAGACTGTTATTCATCAGGGAGCTAATTCAAATCATAAATTACTCTTTACAAGTTCCTTATTTCAAATATAATAATGAGCAGTGTAACTACAGTATTTTAATCATTTTATTAAAGTAATGTTACATATTACATTTAATTTGATTACTTTTTTTTACATTTCTGTCAAATATTAACCATTTTCAAATAAAGGGGGTAGTGTTAACTTTTAATCTGTCAAACTTCTTTCAAAGTCCTTCATCTCATATTAATATTAAATAGTTTCAGAGCACCACAAAGTCAGACCTCAGCACCTTTATGTACCTTTAATGTAAGATCGTTCTTAGGTCACATACCGATTTAAAATCATAGCATAAAACAATGCAATGGTACTGTTTTTAAAATCATGTCTAGTAGGCCTAAGTGTACAGTAAGTGTGTGTGTAAACATGCTTTAATGAAGTAGACTTCAAAAACTTTTGAATTTGACCTTACATTTCTTTCATCAAGCTGTATTTTACATAAAATTACAAAATGGATACTTTTAACTTAGTCCTCAGATAGAGGAGGGTTGCTGCTAGCTCTGTTGAGGTATTTCTGTCCCTCCCAAACTGCATTGAAATGGTGTGTTTAGCAGCCAGAATTTAATTTTTTTTTTACCCCTCCTAACATGATCCATATCACTCGTCAGAAAACAATTGCAATGTCTCAGGTTGTGCCCCCCCAGAATTTTGGCTTGCATGACGCCCCTCCTGTTAACTGTTGTAGCCAAAGACCAATAAAGTGAGTGCGCGTGCCGCGTTCAAAAGTGATCTCACCATAGATTGCGGCTCCCTGATGCTAAAAAGCTAACTTTATTTAACATATGCTTAAATTTTAGTTTAGAATTAAGCTTAATTCATATATTTCAGCGAGAAACTGTTTAATTTACAAACTTTTATTTTGAAATGTAAGTCAACTACATTAGTTAAAAGTCCCTTTTTGGAGGAACCGCCCACTTTGGCAGTTAACACCCCATTTTGGATTTCTCTGGCCTGCAGCAATATCTACTTGCTGATGCCCTCAAATTATAGGCCTATACACAGTATATTTTATACAGATTATATACATGTTCAAATTTAGAGTGTATTTCTCTCTCCAGGTTGCAGATGAGATGATCCAGTGTATCGTGTGTGAAGACTGGCTCCATGGCCGGGTTAGTTTCAAATCAGATTGTGCTCTGGCAGTTCCTGAACATGGTTTACTGTGTGTGGATAAGGAACATAACTTATTCTTGTGAAATGTCTGAAAACATCTATGTGTGTCTCTATCAGCATTTAGGCTGTGTAGTGCCAGACTGTGTGGAACTACAAGAGATGATCTGCGAGTCATGCATGAATAAAACACCTTTCCTTTGGAACTATGCTGCAAATATCGCAGGTAATGTTATACTTTTATCTGCTTCCATTTTGCATCTACAAATATTCAGCATGACTGCAAGACTACAACCGTCCAACATTTGGATTAAGATTTTTTTTTTTTAAATGAATGCTTTTATTCAGCAAGGACGCA